TGCACAGGGTTGCACTACTGGTGAGTCCCTTTTCTTTAAAATATCTGAAAGTCTTTTGATTTTCACCAGATGGAACATTTTACTCACCAGTTTACTTGCTCATTTTGTTTGTATCACTGCAAGATGATAGTGTTACAACTTCATGAAGAATTGCCATGATTTTGGCTTTGCCTAAAGGAGGAAAAAATGAAGTTTAGTACACAAAATAGTTTAATTCCTGACAGTTCCTTAAGGGGCTGTTCTATTCCATAATCCAGGAACCAGGCTGATGCTGTCATTTCCTGATATCTTTAATCAAGCTGTTTCAAAGCAAAATGGGAGATTCTTCAAAACTTTAGAGAATGCCAGTTTTTGCTAGATCCTCAGGAGACATCCTGTAGGAGTGGGCAGCACGTTGGCTGTACTGCCTGCTATGGTCAGAACACTGATCTGCCTGTGTTGAATAAAAAGTTGAAAATATTTCAACAGCTTGGCAGATGAAATACACAGTTGGATATAGGAATGCTGAGGTATGGGGAAGGATAAATTATATCCATGTGCCTGCTCACACCCTAACGTGGAGGTGCATAGGCCCTTGCCAATGTGGGGAATGACTGAGAGCATATTTTGCCTGAAAATTAAAATTTAAATCATAATCCTTCATAATAAAAAGCAGTCAACAGCTGTGCAGTGCTTAGTAACGTCAATATGTGTCTCTTCTATATTTGTTTTAATTGGGTATTTTAATTAAATCTAAAAAAAGAAAGGGGGGGTTCATCTTCCATACTACACTGTGCCAAATTCTGCTCTTCTCTGTCAGAAGCTGTTTGTCATGTGGTGAGTGGCACACAGTGAAAACATTGTGAGGAAAAACTCTGCTCCAGTCAGGTGATATCTTGGATTGCTTTGGTTGCATGCTCTGATCTTATGTATGTAATGCAGCATCATGGGACACATTGTCAAGAAATGCCCTACCAGAAAATATGGGAAGTATTCTGCTGCCTACTTCATAYATTTTTGCTGCTGTTCATTGTAAGGTGCTGATGTGCTGACCCTTGAAAAATGAGTGGAAATTTCTACATAGATTGCTTGTACAAAACATTATAGCTATTGCTGTAAAAGACAATAAAAAATGATTTCTGCAAATACATACTACACCACTTAGACAAGTCTCTGGGGCCACATGGGATCCAGTCAAGGTGAAGGAGCTGGCAAAGTTGCTCACTGTGCCACTTGCCATCATTTCCCATCTTTCCTGGCTAATCAGGAAGGTCCCACTTGACTGGATGCTTGCAAATGTAATSCCATCTAGAAGGGTCAGAAAATGGATCTGGGGCTACAGCCTGAGCTCAGTGGTGTGGAAGGTTGTGGAGCAGACCATCTTGCATGCCATCTTTCACACAAAAACATGAACAGATATGTAGRTGGGAATCCTGATCAAGCAAGCCCCAGCTGCCCCCAGAGCTGTACGTCCCCACTTCCTCCTCCTGGGAGCTCATCAGGCACAGTCCCCTCTTGGAGCGGGACATGGTGGGATGGGGACCAGTGCCCTCAGGTGTGACCGGAGCAGTTTGGGCTCTCTGCAGAACTGAACATATCCAAGATCTGCTTTGATACCTCTCCTTTTGTGCTCACTTAGAGTTTAAAAATGTCCTTTAATTATGTGTAATAAGCTTACCTGAAGTGCAGTTACCTTGAGTTCTATACAAGTTAAAAATCTAATTTTGAGATTTGATGGGGGGAAAAAAACCAGCAAAAAATCAGTGTTGTGTATTTTCAGTTTTTTAAAAACCATCTTTGTTGCTGGCGAGCTGCTGGTAAGCTGCTGGCTCAGTTTGCTCCTCTGAGGCAGCTCAGGCTAAGCAGGTGCAAAGTGCTRGGTTTGTTTTTGGGGAAAGCCAAGGCCTGGGTGATTCAGACCTCAGCTGCTGGGTGAGGAGGTGGCTGACARCACCTGGAGGGACTCGGGGCCCTGGGCTGTGTACCCACCGAGGCTTGGGGCTGGCTGGAGGGCAGCTGGGGATTAGCTGTAGTGGAGAGGGCTGTTAGGGACATGAATGAGGCAGCTGCTCCCTGGATCCTCCTCCTGGTGGCTTCGGCCCTGGAGCTGTCAGCAACTTYACTCCAGCCCCTCAGTGTGGCAGGAGAGAGGCAGCAGAGGGGATGGCAGGGAGAGGTTCTTGCCATGCTGTGATTTAAGGACTTTCTGTGCCCAGCCACAAGAAAACATGTGGCTGCTCTGCATGAGAAGCTGGTGACTGGCTGGGTGATACAGGTGAAAAGGCTGTTGCATGTTTATCACCATGACTGATGTCTCTGCTTCATCAAAAGTAGATGGTGAAATTACAGTTTAATTTAATTTACTATGACTGTGACTGAAAAGGGTCATCCTCCTGCCCTGCTTGCATCTTTTTTCTGACCCTTGTCTGGTTGGTTGCCCTGACGGAGGTTTGTGTGGGGCCAGAGCTGATCTCTRACAGCAGCTTAGCAGAAGGGTCATGCTTAGGTCCCCCTGGTTTTTCTTTTCTTTATCTTTTCCCTTAGCAGATCCTACATCCAGACTGCTGTTTGGCTGCACAAACCTGTAGTGGCCATGAAGRAGGGGGTCAGGCAGGCAGGAGTGGGGTGTGCGGGGTCAGGAGAGGCAGGAGCTCTCCCTTCTCCCACACCAGTGGAAACTGCTGCTGCCCTTGGCTGGGGAATGCCCTCACCCCTCGCTCCCAGGTGTGGGGTTCAGTGCCTGCATTTCACCCAGACACTGCTGCTTGCTCTGTGGAACAGCAAGCCTCAGGCACACCTCAAGTGTGAGGTATCCTCTGCCTTTGCTGCTGTTTCTGGAGGTACAGAGAAGGCATGAAGCCACTCTAGACTAATATCTAACTTTGAGTTCTCACTTCCCTGGGTGAAGGCATGAAGCCACCAGAGGGCAAGTTCTACCTTCCAGGCACTTACTGTTTGTCTACTTTGGTTCAGTCATCTACTTCCAGGTGCTACAAGGTGCCTGGGGAAGAGCGTTCTCTTCACACCTGTAACATATTCCAGGGGGACTCAGGGATTCTTTTTGTCTTTGTAATTATTTAAATCCTTCTCAAACCAAAAATTAAAGAACTACTCACAGCTTTTAAGCAAAGCATGGCATGGGAAGTTACTGCTGTATAGATCAGTGGAATGTGAAATATTTTTCTGTACTGAAGAGTTTAGTTTGGGATTTTCTTAAGAAATTGCACAACAAAACAGCATCAAATAACAGAAGTGGAGGAAGAGGGACAGGACCTCTTGGTATAAATTTCAAATCTTTTTGCTCTTGGCCATTGTATTCTGTGCTCCTTTTCAGAATCTRTGAGTGTCAGTTTCTCTTCTGAGAAAGAAAAATCTCCCTGATCTTTCTCTGTTATTCCTAGAAAAAAAAAACAAAAAGGAAATAAGATTTGTATTTAAAAAAAAAAGAAAAAAAACCTGATTGAAACTGATGGAAAGAAAACTGTAAAGGTAACAGCAGTGCTTTGTATTGTAGACTTTCTTGTGATTAGTGAATAGGGTCATTTCCAAAGAATTGAATTATGGAAGAGACTAATTGTGGGTTCAGCTGTCTTGGAGTTCAGGCAATAAGGTTAAGTACTTTTGATCAGGGGTGGCAGCCTTGCAAAATCCTCAAACCCTCAATGAAATTTTATCCTGGCACATACAATAAACCCTGACACATAAGACCTCCTTAAATGAGGGAGAAACCCTTTGTGTTTTCATGGTTAATATGAAATTATTCCAGGCTGCAGAGCATCCCTGTGGCTGGCACGTGGGACTYGGCTGCAGACGGGCTGCACGTGCTGGCAGGTTAAGTAGGTCTGGCAGGAGCCAGGGAGGGGACAGCTGTGGTTTTCAGGACACCAGAAAGTTGTTTCTGTAAACTAGTTCAGTCACCTTTTGTGGGGATAATTCTGTGATTTGAAGGTGCCTTAATGCTCTGGACAGGATGGGGAAACAGAAGGTCCTAGAGGAAGGAGCAGCATGTAAAATGCCCTTTCACATTTCCACAGAAATTTGCAGCCAGACTTATTGAGGCAGGAATAGGTTATACCTCAGCACAGAAAGTTGCTGGGTTTAATTTCTTCCACCCCACTCAATGCTTTACAGCACTTCTTCTAATTTCTGAATTCCCTGAAGTTGTGCTGTGTGTGCATGTAGCACAGCTGGCTCTGCTGGGATAGCAGAGGAGGCAGCTCAGGAAAAGCTGCTCTGAATAGGCTGGGGTTGGTTTTAATAAATTGGTCCAAAATGGGAAGGGAAAAGAGCAAAAACACAGGTCATACTGYTCATGCACATCAGATGGGCAGAGAGGGAAGCCAAGAGGACACAGATACTGACCTTTATCTTTTGCCGAGCAAATTGCAGAAGTTAATAACGTTGTGAAAATATTCTGTAAAATTTCCTTTTAAGCCCCTGGAAGGTAGCAGCTTTTTGGTGYAGTATAGAAGATTTCTCTGCTAAATGCTTCCAGAGTAAAAATTCTTTYATAAAATTTCATCAAACTTCTCTTTTTGAAAGGTGCAGTTGAAATAATGAACTTGCTTTGTGAATTTGGCAAGGAACAGCACTGTGTGTAAATGCATTTAAGAGTACAGTCTTGTCCTGATTTTTTTTTTTTTGATTGTTATATAAACGTTCTAAATTAAAACAGGTTAGATTGAATCATGCTGTTTACTGACCTAGTAGACCAGACCTGATCATTTAAAGTGTCTTTAAAATCATGGTGCACGTGTCTGATTAGTATGTTAGCTTCTGCAGTCAGTATGGTCCGAGTAAATGATGTAGAAATGTGCCATGTGCGTGAAGCATCTGTACCTTCGAAGCTTAAAGCTAAATCCCTTGTTTATGAAATCTTTCCGTATATGAATTTTTTATTTTATTTGGGTGATGGCCACATGAGTTTTGTGGGAGGAGTATGTAACAATTAATATTCTCTGATAGCCTACATGATAAGCCCCCCAAAAGTACATAAAGCTATGAACACCTTTTCTTAACAGGCCTTGAAGACTGCAGAGGAACACACGATTTGAATCAATTAGGCATTAAAACAGTAATACCCATGGAAGAGCCACAAGACTTACCCGAACAACCCGTAAGTACATTTTAAAAAGACTGAAAATGAAAATTTAAAAAAAAATTGGTGATCTCACAAATTAGGTAAACAGTTGTTTTAATTAATATTGGAAAAGTAKGCTTATACTTAGTGTATTTATCCAGTGAACAAAATGCATTATTTTGTTCATAAAATGTTCTGTATATTTAGTTTACTATAACTGTACAGGCAATAGCAATAAAGGAATAGTTATGTATACCTGAACTCTATGATGTTTCTATGCATAGTAATTATTTGTTGCACTCAGAAAACCAGACTATTTCAAGGCTGTTGTGTAGAAAATAAAATTTACTATTTTAGGGACAGAATGAGCATGTTGGTTTTTACAGGGTATATAGTCTTTAATTCTTCTTGTGCTTGAGATCGAAAAGTTCCTGTGATCCATTGTTTTCACAAGTAGAAGGCATTTTTTAATGCTTAATTTAACAATATGTCCGAGTAGGGAAGGTTAAAGTTGCTACATATTTGTGAAGTGTTAGCAGTAGTTTGCATTACTTATAACTGCTATTATCACAGAAGTGTTATGTAGAGAATTATCAATACAGTATGAGATGAATTAAATGAGATTAATTAAATTAGTATATCCAAAACAAAATAACATAGGAGCTAAGCAGAAATGTTTGTGTTAATGTTCTGTTCTCAAAAGAAACCTGGTGCAAACTCAACAAGAAATTGCCAAGTTACCCTGGGAGTGAAGCTTGTTATAATYTCGGAGACCTTGTCAAATGCACASAGAAAACAGAGTAATGTGCTTGAGGGCACTTTGGGTGTGTTCCAATTGAAAAGATTTTGATCCCTTTTAATGTGASAATTTGATGTTCTTCAGTTGAACTAGTTATAAAATACATTGTAATGTCATTTTTGCAGTTTTGACTGCAAATGACTTAGGAACAAGGTTGAATGAAATGGAAATGTAAATTTACAGTTGTTCAGAACCTGGCTTGCCACAACCTGTGGGTAATGGGCCTGAGTAATACCCACAAAATGTGAAACGAAGCAGCTGTCTTAGTTTGAAAGACAGGTGTTTGCCAATGAAGGCAGGGACCCCCCTTCCCTCCGAATTATTATAGCTTTGAAAATCATGGGCTTTCAGGCAAGAATGTGGGTAAAAGGGAATAACAGTTTTTACTAATATATATATATAACAAGGTGAAACAAGTAACAATAACAATAGCAACAACCAGCCCAGTCCCAAACCCAGTGACAGCTTCACACAGAGACACATCCTCCCCTTTGGTGCAGTTACAGTCCCAGCTGGCTGTTGTACAGCCATCGCTTTGGTCCCTGGTTTTTGAGTGTTTCTTTCCTCTTCAAATCTGAATTGGAATGGAAACAGTTTCTGTGCACACTGCAGAGCTAGAAAACAGAATCAGAATTTATAATAAATTATTAATCTGGATTAGTTTTTAGAAGTGATCCTGTATAGTAATCTCTCGCTCACTGAATGCATTGTGGGTGGAGGTAGTTAATTTTTATAATATTAATTTAATTCTCAATACTAGAAAATGACAACATGTTTTTTTATAAAGCACAGTGAACTTGTGTGACCCTCACTGCAGACACCCAGTGGGTTGCTGTGTGTTTGGAACAATTGCTCACTCACATCAGACAGCAAGGGCAAGTCTGGGTCCATGGTGGGGAGAGTAGGGTGCTGGAAAAGGCTCCAGAAAGACACGTTTTTTTCTTAATTGAAAATGGCAAGAGGTTGGCAATTGTCCCTGAGTGTGTGCTGCCCTCTGCTCTGCTCCACAATGGCTTGGGCAGCATTGTCTCCAAAAGTCATTGCCCTGCTCTCAGTGGTGACCTGGGAGTGAGGAGTGTCCAGTGTCTGGTTGGGCTTGGAAATCATCTGTGGATGTCAGTCAGGGTTGAATTCATTTGTAGAGTACCTGTTCTCTTGATGTCAGGAGGAAAACTTTGTTTATGGCTTAATAAATACAATTGACCTCCAGTCCTTCTGCGGCAGGAACGGAGCTTTCCAGCATAAAGAATTACTTGGATTTTCAGTGATAGAATGTTATGTTTTAGGAGCAGGGATCAGCTACAATATGTCATTTGACTTGTTTTTCTCTCTCCCTTTTTTTCTTTATTTTTTTTAACAAAAATCATTGTAAGCCACGAACCTTACAACAGAAAGGTGAAATAGAAAGATGAAGGTAGGAGCAGATGTCCTGTGAGAGACGTGTCACTGGTTGTAGTGCAGCAGAGCAGCTTAGAGAGGGAGTCTCTGCAGCTGCTCAAGCTGAAGCATGAACCCCTGAGGTAGACCCCAGCCTGATAACACCTTGAGCCTTTTTTGTCCCTCTGCCTCTGAGCTCCTCTCGCCCAACAGAAATTCGCCCATATGTTGCTATTTCTTTTGTTTAAGCACATGTTGACCTCTCACAGTCAAATTGCATTTTCCTCACCTTTTATTTATATTCACCCAAGAATAAAAATGTGAATAACATGGTAAGGGCTTTATTCTTTGCAATCCCTGCAATCTGGTACCTAGCATGTACTTCCCAGACCCCCTTGCACAGAAGACATGTGCTTAAGGGAAAGGGCTTGAGTGCCCAGCGAGGTCTGGGGTGGTGCTGATGTAGTTGTCTGGCATCCAAAGGTGCTTAAGAAACATGAAAGGCTGCAAAACTTCCTGCCTAGAGGGAGAACGTGTGGAAAGAGAAGCCTGTGTATCCCAGGACACCTGGCTGCAGGAACTCACCCTGGCATTCTGCTGAGGGTTTCAGTAATGTTTGTAGCCTGCACACAGAAAACTGAATTARTGTTCAAGCCAGTGCTGTCTGTGGCGTAATTACCCTGAGCAAGAACAGGGTCCAGCTGGCACCTACAAAATCAGAATAAGTGCTGTATTGATTTTAGCAAGGAATCAAAACTCCTGATTTATTACAGATAAAAYATTAATGTTCCTATCTTTATGCAATATTAAAATTCAGGGGGGGAAAGAGCAAAGTTTATGGCTGTAGTGCTGAATCTGTGTAGAATAAGATTTCCTTAAAATTTATGGCTGCTTTTTTAAATTTCCACGAAATTGTCCTCACCAGCCATTTTTGTGGCTGTRTATCTCAGCACCTGTTACTTACATAACTAACATGACAATTCTACTATACAAGACCCAGYGTTAGCCCTTGTTTTCTAATTAGGAAAAGGCTTGTTTTGAGATGAAGAGCTCATGATTACACTGGTGAGTTCTGGAGTGCAGGACAAGGCTGTCTRTTTATCCACCCGTGTGAACCCTCCAGCTTTTGTTAATTGTGGCTCTGAGCATTTTCTGTCTTCGCAGGTGAAAAAAGCCAAGATGCAGGAATCCAGAGAACAGAGCCTGAGGTATGGGATTTTAAATTTGATTTTACTGTGGGATAGTTCTTTATGGTGTTTTACAATTACAAAACTTTCATTTTAGAAGCTTGCCTTTTGTTTTATTTTTTACAGAGTTAGGGCAAATATAGTTGCATTTGTATTTTATATAATTTTGATTAAGTTCCCAATAAAAAATAATTAACTAGCCCTTTGATACAAAGCTTTTATGAAAGCAGCTACAGAGTCTTAATGGCATCATCATGCCCATGTTTCACAGAATGTGGTGAGACTCATGTACTGCACATAACATGCATTTCATTTGATGAGACTTGGGATATTTTAATGATTTCTGTACTATGATTGTCAGTGAAACTGTGTGGATAACTGCTTTGAAAAATTAAACTCTCTTGAATTGGTAGCCTCTCCTACTTAAAGCTGCTGTAAGATCCTATTTTTAGCCTCAGTAGATGCTTTCTGATTTAGGAATTAACTATTATTATTACTACTTGTAATGAGAATAGGTATATTGGRATTTATTCTGTTTCTCTGAGTAGCAGCAAATACAGTGAAGAAAAATTTCTTTTTGGAGTCTCTGCCATCCCATTAGGAACAAGGAGGAAACACGCCATTTCTGCAGGAGTGGATGTGGTATATTCTAAAAATTAGAAATTTGAGTTCATCACACAGGCTCACTTCTTCTGAGGTCACAGGAATCACATCCTAGGGAGGGTTTTTCCCCCTCTCTTGGCTACAAAGTGCCTGAGGGCAGCATGGACAGGTCTGAACATGTGGGGTGCTCTCCCTTCTCCCTCTGTGCCACCCTGCTTCAGCACCACCACAGCTTCCCTGTGGGCACAGGGAGCTCAAGATTTGGGTGTAAACATCCTCGTGTGGTATTTAAAAATAGAAGAGAGGGGAGGGATAAAGCTGCATTTCTAACTTGATTAAATATTCTGTTAAAATGTTCTGGCTCTATTTTACTAAAACGATACATGCTTTTAAGTTTGACCAATGGATTAGTTTAAAAGAATTTATTGGACTTGTTTCTCCCATTCCCCCATGCTAGGGGTGGAGGAGGGAGAGAAAATTCAGGAGTTACTTGAACCCAGAAAGCAGGGATGGGTGGGGCAAGGTGTTGTAAGGTTTGGGTTTATTTCTCATACAGACTGCCCTGTACAGGTTAACTCAGGCAACTTTAGGCTCCTCCTGAGAGTTTAATTTGCTCATCCAACTCAAAACAGTGCAGTTGTTTTTGTTGGGATGCTGAGTAGAGTCAGGTCATGGAGGCTGGCAGAGGGCACTGTGCTAGGTGCACTCCTGAGCTCGAAGCAGAAGTTGCCCCCTCAGCAGCAATAAACAGTTACCTTGACTCCTTCACCTTGAGAAACTGCAGTCTGAGATGTCAGARCAGCACACAGATGGCTCAAAACCTCATGAAAAGCTGTTCTGCAGAGCTAGCAATAATAAAACTATAGCCAGGAAGGCATTCATCAAGGAAAATCCAGTTTCATTCAGAAATTACCTGTACTTCCTACTCTATATAAAGAGTACTGTGAACAAAGCAACACTGAGATGGAACTGAAACAGTGTGGGATAAATCAAAAAAATCCAGTAACCTGCAAATCTCTTAAGTACAGAAGTGACCCCAGCTCAAGGATGTTTCAACACTGGTGTTCGGGGGCACACCCAGCAGTGAGGCAATGCCCATGGGCAGGGGAGCTTTGACAGCAGGGCCACACACACCACTGCTGGCAGCCCTTCCTTGGCTGCTGCAGCCTGGGGGAATGGACAAGCCAAGGGGTGTTTGTCACAGAAGCCATCCCTGCAGTTCCCCCCTCTACCAAAGCCTGGCCACTCAAAGGCCATTTAGTTTGATGTCTAATTCCAGCTGCAGATCTCTCTTTTGGAATCTCTGCRTGAAATAGTAAAGAGTGCAGGGCTAGGTTCTTCGCTTTGGTCAGAAAGGTTGAACCCAGGGATTAAGATGCCCAAGGATATTAAGAGTTCATAATRCTAATACTGAGCCTTTGTTGTCTTGGCAGTCATGTGAGCAGCACAGAAGTCAGCGATCAGAAACCTGAATCTTCAAACCTTGGTTCAAACCTTCCCATGTCCAGTGAGAGTGAGTATCTCTGGAGTTCTGCTCCATTATCTTTCCTCGTGTCTTTCCCTGGTACCATGCTTCATCAACCACAAGCTTTGTCTCCTCCTTGTAATCCTTAGCCTGCCCTCAAAGTCAGTTGTAAAATGAGCATTTGCTGTAGTGTTTACAAAGTGTTAATGCCTGACAGTAAGGAAATACCTAACTAATATTTTTGTGTCACTGCCCCCCAGCTTGCTGTTGGGTGCTTCTGAGTACTGCTGTGTCTTATCTGCCTTAGATATTATTTTTCTTGAGGGTTGAGTCAGTATCAATTMTAATGCCTATTGTAAACATGTTTTATAAATCATTATCTACACAGCTGATTGAGTCCTTTGTAGCAATATGCCATACACTTCATCTTTGACTCTGAATTGTATTGAATGTCTGCAGAAAGCTCTTAGGAAATAAACAGAGAGGAAACAGGYAGGAAATACAAAGATTGCATAGTAAGTGAAAAATGGAGTGTATCCTTTCTTCTGGAAAAATTGGGCTGGAAGTTATTAGGAAAGTTAGATTCTTGTGTGGAATATCACACATATCATATCGGACTGCCGATATGTATTTCTAAATGTAAATCAGCTCATTTTAGCTGAAAGTATGTAAGGTGTAACTTTTTCCATTGCAATTGATTTAACCTTTGCTATTTTAATCCATGTAGTGTTGTGTTGCAGGAGTATAAGAAATTTCAGCCAAACCTGCTGCCTAACTGGATAAGCCATTTACAAATCCCAGAAATTGCATTGTGGGATTTTTTGCCTTTTTACACCATTACCTAATTCTTTATACGCAATTTTAAAGATAAGAATTCTAGAAATATCATTACTACATACCTATTCAGATGAATATTGACATTCTGAAAAAAAACCTAGAAATTTTAAACATTTTTGCAGGAAGGATGTGGGAACATCTGACAAATGTTAAAGAAAAGTCTTTAGGTCTAGATATTCTCAGTTTGTGTTTCCTGTTGTACCCTTGTGCTACGTGGTCTTCACACCATTAGTAAAGGCAAACACTGAGGAGCAGAGGAAGGTGATTCATGGTTSATTTGAAAGGTTCATTGCATATAGTTGTTGATTGGTACTATTCAGCTGCTTGTGCTCAGATTACACCAAGAGAATGTTATTGAGGTGGCAAAATGCACCTACGGTTAGGGTTGCCTGGTTGGTGTCTGTCTTGCTTTCCTCATTGTAACTCAGGAGAGTTAACTGTGTGGCCATACAAGAGCAATAAYGTAGGACTGTTCAGATATGGAAAGATGGAAAGCCAACTCTTTAAAGCCCATTTTTGGCATGTGAGTCAAATGCCGAGGCACAGTGTGCTGTTATCCATGACCACATGCCTTTTTGAAACCTGTGAACTGAGTCACTCCAGAGGGAGGGGAAGCTTGGTGTCTTCCAGTGGTAGTGGTGGGGGAGCTGGACCCCTGGGCCCACACAAGGGATGCTCTGTTAGCCTGGGTTACCTCCTGGGCAAGCCCTGTGTGATTTGTCTGCTTTTAAAGGAGAGTCAGCTGGATCCATGGCAGTGCAGGTGCGTTTGCTAAGGGTTTGGGTATGGTGCTTCTAGATCCAAGCAGATAAACCCGTGCATGTGCAGTTACACACTACAAAAGTTGTGGCTCCCAGCAGCAAGCTGCATTGTGGTGGTGGTATGTGCCAGAGAGCCTGCATGGAGCCAAATTCTGTGCTGGGATTTTGCCCATCCTTGCTTTCCTAGTTTGATGGACAACTGAGTGTTTAATCAGGACAGCTTATGTGAATCCAGGGGGTGTTTAATGGCTCTTGGATTAAACCATAATAGCCCAAGCCCCCTTCTCCACCCCAGCCTGGAATGCTGTGACAGAGCTGTCTCACACAAGGTGTAGTGGAGCCATAGGCTGTGCTGAGTGAGAACATTTGAAACATTTCCTCAGTGGGTTGCCAGCTGAGCCACTCWGTCTTACCAGTTTCAGAGTGCAATTGCTGTGGATTTATTCAAGCAGAAAAATGGAAACATCTGGTTGAATGAAACTACAAGATTACTTTAGAGGAATCTCTGGGCCTTGCGCATTGCAGCTGTACTTCACTGGATGTGTGTGATTAAGTTCATTCAGCTGGAGCTGTTCTTTTTGCAGAAAAGACAGTTTGCTGGGGCCATGCATGGGTAGAACATGTAGGGGAAGAGGAAAGGTTGACAAAACACGTGTTTGGTCTCTGCTCCGGGACACAGAAATGTTACACTTGGTGCAGATGAAGCCCCTTCAGCAAATATGCAGAGTTTTGGGGAGGACTGAAATCAAAGGTTTTTTATGACAATTGCAAAATTTCCCACCAGCTGATAAAGAGACAAAGCATTGTTAACACAGAGAGGAATAGTGCAACTGGCTGATCTACCTGCTGTGAGCTGGCAGAACATTTTTGTTCCAGTTTAACTATGTGGTTTTGAGAATTTGCTGTGAAACAAATTCAGGGCACTGAAAACTATTTGTGAATGCTGTGTGTTGACTAAAATATGAGTATTGATATTTKTCTTTATTTGTTGGGTTTTGAAAGCACCTCTGTAATTACACAAACTATTTTTTTTTTCAGTTATGACATGCACTGATTATATCCCAAGGTCATCAAATGATTATACCTCACAAATGTATTCTGCAAAGTAAGTCAAGAAATTGTTACTGAATTCTGCAACTCTTACTTCTTTCTGAAGTAATGTTTGTATCTTTATGCATTTGTCTAATGCTGTGAATCCCATTTCCGACAGCAGATACTCATTGCTGAGGACCCTGAACTTACAGAATTCACCCTTTGGCTTTAATGACTGTTGTTTTATGATCACAAAGATAAACATTCCCCTTCAAGTAATTAATAACATGATAGTCTTGGTGAATAMTGCACATAATAAAATAAACAAATTGAGCGTAAATATAAGGGGAATATAATGTTTTCTCATCATTCACTGTGTTTAGGGATCTTCATTCTTCCCGTTGGAGTAGGATAGGCATTAATCCCTGCTACTTGTTTTTGTGTAGTCTCTGTGTGTGTCCCACTGGTTCTTACACATACTGCTGTATTTCAGTAGCTTTAGGGTCTGRTGTGATAAGGCATGAAAGTGGGACTATCTACTCATGCTTGTTGGAGTGGGGAGTTTGTCCTTCCCAACTCAGCCTGCCCTCCCAGTCCTGGGTGAGCACTGGTGCTCTGGCACCATGGGGGAGTGARTTTGTCCAGTGTCACCACAGGAAGCTGGCAACATCTATTAAATGAAGGGCCTGCCTTGGGAAGCACAAGGAGCTTATTGCAGTAAGAGGACRTGTCTGTCTGAAAAGTTTCTTCTTTCTTGGGCAAGTTTTTAATGTGTCTTCTGGTTTGGAGACTGAAAGATGCATATTGTAAACAGCTCTTTCTGACTTCTGTTCTCTCTTTTCACTAAGGCCATATGCACATATCCTTTCTGTACCAGTATCGGAAACAGTGAGCCCTTACCCTGGTCAGCCTCAGTACCAAGCACTACAGCAGTCCCAGCCCTACACCATCTACCCCCAGACCACCCAGACCTACGGACTACCTCCTTTCGGTAAAAAGTGACTTTTTAAATACTTCTCAGTGCCTGCAATTATTGTCTTATGTCTCATTAAAAAGCCAATGTTAAGCTTAACCAGGTGTCTTGGAAAGTAGATTTTGTAGGAGAGCACATGTGTTGCTTAAATTGTAGATAAGCACTGACCTCTTGATGTAACTTCAACTTATAAAATAAGRTTTCTTACAAAGCTATTACTTTGGATGTCTCCCTATGAAGTTTGCCATATGGTGCTTGGTTTGGAACCATAATTGTCTCCAGTTGTGATAAAGCTGRGTTTGTGCAGTTTCCTTGTCAGTGAAATGACACAATGCCCCATACTATAACTTCTTCACTTAAGGTGTTTTTCCTTTCCTTTTTGTTGTCTACGATTAAGACTTTTTTAAAAATTTCATCTTTCACCAATGAGAGTTCATGCCAAAATGTCTCCAAGTTTGCTCAGCAAATAATTTGCTTAATTTGCTCTAATAACTAAGCCCTCTTTATAGCCATGTCTTATATTTCCAGTCTTGGCAAATGTGTGAAGGGTCAGAGTTGTGTTGTCACTAAAGACCTACAGGGTTTGAGCTATCCAACCTGTGCAGGGATAGGGAAACACAGCTCTGGGGTGTTGGACTGCTTTAGAAGCTAATGGCTGACTTTCTCCGTGGTGTATAAAGGAAGCTGAGGGTGAATAGTGCAGATAGAAAAATACATAACTTCTGGGTGGGTTAGCTAGTGAAAGGAGCTGCCTGGTCTTTCCTTATACTCTGTATATTAGAATCATAGAATATATTGAGTTGGAAGGGAATTACAAGGATCACTGAATCCAACTTCTGGACCTGACAGACCCTGCAACAGCCCCACCCTGGGCTCCCCTGGCAGCGCTGTCCCAACGCTCCTGGAGCTCTGGCAGCCTCGGGGCCGGGACCATTCCCTGGGGAGCCTGGGCAGTGCCAGCACCCTCTGGGGACAGAAGAACCTTTCCCTGGGGAGCCTGGGCAGTGCCAGCACCCTCTGGGGACAGAAGAACCTTTCCCTGCTCTCCAGCCTGAGCCTGCCCTGGCCCAGCTCCAGCCCTTCCCTGTCCCTGTCCCAAGGATCGGAGCTGCCCCTCGGGAGGAGCTGCAGCCCCCGCTGAGCTCTGCCCTCAGTGTCCTCTGCTCCAGCTGAACACACCAAGTGCCCTCAGCTGCTCCTGCTGTGACCCCTTCAGACCATTCACCATCCTCATGGCCCTCCTTTGGACATTCTCCAATAGCTTTAGGTCCTTCATGTRTTGAGGCACCCAAAACTGCCCCAGCACTCAAGGTGAGGCCACTCCAGTGCAGAGCAGAGTGRGACTGTCCCCTCTCTGGCCCAGCCAGCAATGCTGTTCCTGATGCCCCCAGGACATGGATGTTTTGGCTGCCAGGGCACTGCTGTCTCATGTTCAGCTGGCCATTGACCAGAACTCCCAGGTCTCTTTCCACAGGCTGCTCTCCAGCCTCTTGTTCTCTGCTCTGTACAAGCAGCCAGGACATKAAAGTGTCAGGCACTGCGGGAAAAAGCAAACCCATGACTGGCTATCTTCACACACATACCAAATTATCTAACTCATTATTAGAAATTAACATTTTAACTTCTCTTTTCATCTTCAATGTTGCCCAACTTGGTTTTGTATGTAAATATTGTATAATGTTGCCAGCTCTCAAAAATGGAAGCTAGCAGAGGCTGTTTTATCCCTTAGCAGGTGACATTGATGAGAGGGGAGAGCATCACCCTCCTGTKCAGGGAACATGGGAGAGCACCCCAGCTGCCCAGGGAAGTGGTRGAGTCACCACCCYTTGCAGTGTTCARAAAACAYATGGATATGGCACTTGAGGACATGGTTTAGTGGTGGACATAATGATGGTGCTGGGTTTATGRTTGSACTTGATGATATTAGAGGTCTTTTCCAATKTYAACARTTCTGTGAWTCTGARTAGCTGTCTCAGGRGCTTGTGGTCATGCTGAATAACTGCRTGAACTGAGCCTCTTGCAGATTGATCTGTAGTGCTAAAATCTTGGTACCTTGTTGTGCCTAAGGATTAATTTTTCTTAGATGTCTTTGAATAAAAACAGCTATATTTTTGGCTTTTGTTARCTGCTGACAGAGCATGGGCTTTTCTAAACATTACAAAACAATTGATTTGTCATGATATATTTGAAAGATGTGTAGCAAAGATAGTGAATCCAGACTTGTCTTTGTTAAACAGATGTTAAATTTCTAATACTGTTGTTACTAATGGTTGCTGGACCATACTCCTTACTGGGTGCCTGCACTTTGGTTTCAGTGCCTTGTTGCTGTTTTTTGCTGCATCAGAACTGTGGCTGATGTTTTCCTTTGCTTCATTTTTATGGTGGTTTTTGATAGTTTGTTGTGCATGGTGCACTGAGGCTGCTTTTGTGTGTTTTAAAGGCAAATATTTGTAAATATGTGGAGTACTGCAGTGAAGTTGTTTTAAAAGGTGGTTTAGACTTATTTTTACAATTTTGGAGGGAGGGAGTGAGGGTGTAGGGGTTTTATAAGAGTATTGTGTGTGTGATGTTCTAGTGGTGGCTATATTTGGGGGTGTGCTTGTTTTTTTAAATCCAAAGGCTCTGGAATGCAGGGGTACTGATTCAGTATTATACTCTGAATGGGGCACTAGAAATTCTTCTGAAGACCTGGAAAGAGATCTGCATTTTCTGTTGACTTCAAAGGAATTTTAGTCTGTAAAACATCCCAAATGTGATCAATTACTGAAATGTCTGGTATGGATATTGAGGTCTGTTGTTAAACACTTGAATTTTTAGTGTGAAATCAAGTGTTAGGAAGATGTTAAAAGTCATTATTTCTAGTAGTAGAAATCATWCTGTAGTGGTACCTGCTGAGCCATACTGAGAAGATGGACCTTGCATGGTGTGACAGAGAGGTGGAGGGTAGAGGACTGAATGTACACACTGAAGAGGAAATTCTGGAATTTGTTTCTGCTCATAAAATCTCCAGTGAGCAGATTAAGGCCAACAAGTTAGTCAAATGTTTTACCAGCATCAGAAGGCTTGTTTCAGAGGTTGGTGTGTCTTTGTAGTGTGTATTTATTTCTATGCCAGAAAGAAGGCACCATGGATTATCTAACTGGAACAAACCAGTATGAAATTCAAGCAAGTTGACAAATACAAGCATAGTCTTGAGGTGGCTGAAGTCATGATGCTGCTTTTTAGAAAACGGTGACCAGTGCTCTTGCTGATTTATCACCTCTCTTGGTGTTCTAGTGTATTGTTCTGCATGGAATGCCCTTGTGGTCTGGAGATATTTTATTAAAGAAGCATTAAAATAAGCACAGTGACATCCAGGCTGCATATGTGWGACTGTAAATTGGTGTTAGAAACACCGTGGATATGATAGTTTACATTAACTCAAGAAAAGCTTAGAAGTGATAGTCTGTCCTGTGTGGGGCCTTTCCATGTAGATGTGTGCTGTGCCATTCTGTGTCATACAGTGCTGCCATTGAACATGGAGGAGTCTCATTCCCCTTCTCACTAGCTCATAACGCTGTCCTGCACAATGAGAGGGGAAGGACATGCCACCAGGCCAGTTGTGTGCCCTGCTCTGTAGAAAGTGGTATGTGTCTGTGGCAGGAAGACAGTCATGGAAGGCAGGATCTGAAAGATGCCTTAGCACATGATCTGAATCAGCTCCTGCTCTGGCACCCAGCCAGCTCTGCCAGMACCTCTGGGTATGTCTGACCTGGTGCCACACTCCCTGGGTGGTCATTATCCTACAGCATTCAGGGTGGGTTTGTGTCACACTCTCAGGTTGTTTGGCACTTCTGCATGTCATGACCATCACATTGTGTCATTGTCTGTTCTTTGTCCCTTTGTCTTGTGCCATATGGAGCTTCTGGTTACTGTCCCCTAGATAAACTGCTCACCCATTTGGAGATGGTGGCACTCCCTTTCCAGACTAAACAAACACAGCTACTCCCACTCTCCTTGGAGGATCTATTTCCCATATACTTTGTTCTGGAGTTTGTGCAGTGTATCTATAGTCTTTCTTRAATCAGCCTTTYCTTTTTATTTGCTAATTATTGAGGTTCTGGAGGTTTGAAACCTTAACAAAGACACAACTTGAGAGTCAAGGGGTCAAACCCTGGGGTGGCTGTATAGAGAAGAGTGATTTAAGTTTACCCATAGGTGTCAGTTTGAGATCAGATATGGAAATAAATCAAAGGGCTGTTGCAGAAATCTGACAAAGCTGCAACATGGAGCGACCTCTTGGAGCTGCTGCTCTTGTCCAGTTCGATGGAGTCTTCTATGTTTTCTAGGTAAGAAACCTAGATTTCATAGCCCGTCCTACTAGAGGGGGTGAAGGGCTGCAGGTAGCTTCTGCATCCTTGGTGCTGGTTTTGGGATGTTTATAAAGGAGGGTGGTCTTTCTGATGGCCCTGARCTGTGTCTAGCTTCAAATGTCCTTTGTTCTTCTGCTTTGCACACTCATGCTTGATTTCAAATAGATCCTCTCAAAATATTTCTGCTTTCTAACCAGGGCCAAGGAGAGTTGTCTTTGACTTTGGCTGTAGATTTCGAGACAGTGAAATGAAAGCCTGAAGAGCCCTGAGGAGTGAGACCTGAACTGAGCTGAGCTGCCTTAGTTGGACACTGTTGGCACCCATCAGTGCAGTGAGCTTGACCTTAACGTGGCACCTGAGCTGAACCACCCTGCTAAGTGTGCCCTGTACACATAATTACAATCACTCTGCTCTCTGTGCTGTGCCCAGGGTTGTTACAAAAGCTTTCAAAAGCAACAGGAAATCTAGAAGGAACATTTTTTTTTAGCTCTATTTGTTGTTGTCAGTCTAGGAAAGTTACTGACTTGTGGCTTGTTTTAAAATATTTAATCAAAGGCCCAGTGAAGTAGTGGAAGCACTGAGCTTGGCCTTCACAGATCCCAACTCAAGCCTTGCTGTGTTACAGCTGATGCCACTTGCAGTGCTGTGCAGCTCAGCCCAAGATCACAGCTATTGGCAGGTCCTTTGTCTGCATGGAGCAGTGAATCTTAGTGACACAAACAGTTAAAAGTTAGTTAAAAGCTTTGCAAATTAGTCTTCTTGGTGCTTTTAATTTTCTCTTTTTCAGCCATTTTGTCACCAGCTCTAATCCTTGCACAGCCTGACAGTCAGCGCTTGCTGGAATTAAACATTTTCTATGCGTCATTTGTTACTTGCTTTTGTGATGAGCAAAAACCTTAATCTGAGGTAGCAGCATGCTGTTTGGTCCCAGCATATTTGTTTGTAACTGGTCCAATTTATCTGATTCAGGTGCACTGTGGCCAGGTATGAAACCTGAAAGTGGTTTAATTCAGACTCCATCTACAAGTCAGCACAGTGTTCTTACCTGCACTACAGGGTTAACCACAAGCCAGCCCAGCCCAGCACATTATTCTTATTCCATTGAAGGTAACTTGGCATGGTTTTTATCTGCATCTCTCTCTACCTAACTGAGTCCAGATACCAAACTAGAGAGGCTTGCACGCTTGTTCTTGGTTTGTGCATGCTTCTTCATGCTTTGCCTCTTTTCTCTTTGTGCCTATGTGTGTYTGGGTTCATATTTGCCTCGTACCTGTGTGTGCACCAGGCTGGCTCGTTGGTGCCATGCTGCTGGGCTGAACAGGGTGAAGAGCAARTGGGAAGGGGAAAGGAAACTAAATGTTGTGTTTTTGCATGCTTTACTGGGAATGCTCTTGCATTTCTCTTTGTTTGTGGTCTTTAGCTTGATGTCAGGAAATAACCCTGACTGAAGTTGGGTTTTTAAACGTCTGTTTTTAATTCCTTCTGGAGGTAGATGGCTCTTGAATATCACACACACACACACACTGGGTTGGTAGATCTGCTAGGAAGTGAATTTCTCAATATAGAACTACCATACAAATATTACAGTTTCCTGAAGTGTGCTACATCTCAGAAGGCAGGTGCTGAATTTCACCAACTTCCACAGCAGTTTTAGGAGTGAATGTGCCAGATACYTGAATAATGGGATATTGTTGCTTATGGCAAATATGTGTGAATTCATATCTCTTTTTTAGGCTGGATTTTTGTCATTTATGTTTTGGTGATGAGTTGTGAAAATTTGTCTCTTTCTCTGAAGATTCCTATAAAGCATTTCAGGAATTTGTATTCTGTTTCTTGTGGAATATTTTCACTGAATAATTCAGGGACTTCAGGAAATTTTTACTTCAGCTTCCTCCTCAAAGAGTTGTTGATACAGAATTCAGAACCAGGTTGCTCAGAGCTTTATCTAGTTGGGTCTCCAAAACATCCAAGACTGGAAATTTTGCCAGTTCCAGGACCTGACTATCAGTGTGATGAAACTTCTTTTCTTTTGTGAACTCAGAGTTTTCCCTCTTTCACGTTCTGACCATTTCTCTCCTCCTGCTGCTGCGCATCTGCAAAAAGTGCAGGTCCTCTCACTAATGTCCATGTAGGTACCAGCAGGCTGTGGTAGGTCCCCAAACCCACCTCCTCTCCTGGCTGAACATGTCCCTCTCCCCTGAAATGTCCCTTGCAGGGCACGTGCTTCAGATCCCTGACTGGTTTGGCATCTCTTTGCCAGACCCACTGAATTTTAGCAACATGTTTCATGTGCCTGAGGCCCCAAAATGAATGCCATAACCAGATGTGGTCTCATGAGAGCCAAGAAATGAGGATAAATCTTAAAATTAGCAGTGAGTGGGTTTTAGTATGTCTCTCACTGAGACTAAGGTCATTTGGTGTGTCATGGTACTTGCTCAGTTTGCATCATTGTGACAGTCAAGGGCCCAGTGTAATACTTATCCCTAATTCACTTTTCATCTTCATAACATGAAAACAATACTGGAAATTTTCCCCTCCTTCCAACATAACCCTCCTTCCCATACTCCCACCAGCAGAATGAATTGTTGTGTCTTACAGCACCAGCTTTAMCTGCCAAGGCTCAGGAATGGTTCTGCACATGACACCTGCCAGATTTCCCAGTGATGTCCCATGGGAAGCAGGTGGATCCCTGGGGACTGTGGAGGTGACAGACCCATGTCAGCCTCACTTTGTAGAGGAATTATAAAGTCACASACTGGTTTGGWCTGGAAGGGACCTCAAAGATCAACCACTTCCAACCCTTCTGCTGTGGGCAGGGACACCTTCCACTAGACCAGGTTGCTCCAAGGCCTGTCCAGCCTGGCCTTGGACACTTCCAGGGATGGGGCAACCACAGCTTCTCTGGGCACCCTYACAGCCAAGAATTCCTTCCCWATATCCCATCTAACCCTGTCCTCTGGCAGTGGGAATCCATTCCCCCTTGTCCTGTCACTCCAGACCCTCATCCAATGTTCTTCTCCAGCTCTCCTGGAGCCCCTCTTGATRCTGGAAGGGGCTCTGAGGTCTCCCTGGAGCCTTCTCTTCTGCAAACTGCACAACCCCAGCTTTGTCAGGCTTTCACACAGGAGAAGGATTTTCATCTGTGCTGCTGGGAGAATGTGTGATGTGAGAAGTTTGCTCTGCAGGCTGCTCTTTGAAAGTGTGCACAAGTCACCCCAAAGTGTGCACAAGTCACCCCAATTGTGCGAATGCTGTTTTTAGAAAAACTTTTTGCAGACTGGCAGGAAATTTTTAAAGATTTGCTATGTTTCCTTCTCAAACCCACCAAGGGGTCAGGTCAGTACAGGGGCTGGTGCCAGGGAGGTGGTGGAGAGCAGAAGCTGGAAGCAGAATTTCAGTGCATAGTTCTGGTTTTAACTCTTTGAAAATGATTAAAGCAAAACAAATTCGGATTAATAACGTAGGGGAGGTAGGGATGTGATGTCTGAGGATGAGGTCTGGAAGTGGGGGAAAAATCAAGAAGAGGAAAAGAATCATGGCATCTTTAACTGTGTACTTGTGTTTGCTGATCTTTTTAAACCTCAGACCTTGAAGTCATGTTTGGCAAATCCGTGCCAAATATTTTTGCATGGTTCTGGCCCATTCACAGGTAAAGGGAAGTGGCCCACAGTGCAGAAAGAATGGTTCATCTGTGTGGTGAGAACTGTTTGAAAAGATCTGATATGTAGCACTGTTTAGATACAGGATTATTAAAAAAACATGTTGGAGGGAGACCAGAGTTAAGATAAACAATGAAGTTCATATTAGGGAATGCCAAACCTTGGAATCTTTTTTTTCTGATTTCTTAGCTTCTGTACTCAATCTCAGTGGAGAAACAGCCTCTGCAGAGTGCCACAGATAAGAATCACTTTCCCTTTCCATAATAGTCTTGAGAGCAGTGGTGTAACAGTCTGTCTTTCATAGAGTTACTCTGCCCCGGCTGCATGGCAGGTTTTTTTAGTTAGTGAGGGTCTTTCTGCAGAGCTGGGCTTTGTGAGGACCCAGGAAGTGACCTTCTCTTAAGGTGATAACAGCCTTGATAATTTCCATAACATGCAGTTGGAAGGAGTTTTATTTGGAAACTCCCCCMTGTTTCTGAGCAGCTGCTTATGAGGAGTGTTTGTGACAGGTTCCTTGGCTCTCACAGCTGTACTTGAAGTCACTGTGGAGCTGCTGTAGGTCCTTGAGCATCTTCATTGCCATTRTTGCTGTTCAGTGCAGCCCTGTTGCCTTTTTCTAAAGGCTTCTGGGGCTAATTGCTTCCATTTTTTTCTGCTTCCACAGAGATGACACCCTTCATATTTCTCACCTCCTGTAAATACTGTGTATTTCTACACCTCTTTTAAGATGCGTTTCTTTTGTTTTCTTTTCTTATCTTTTTTTGAGGCATATTTTGAATCCATTCCTCTTTCCAGGAGCCAYCAGGTAGTATCTGTGCTTGCCATAGCACAACATACACTAGTAATGGTTCATGGTGGGTTTGTTTTTTTCTGGGGCAGCAGGACTGAAGCCTTCAGAAGCTTGACTTCTTAGGGTGAATTCTGCATGGTGGTATTTGAAGAAAATGAGGGTTTTTCTCAGTGATGGTAAAGTAGGGATACTGTGGATTTCTGCAAGTCTTTACAGAAGCAKCTAAGTGATTTTTTGTTTTATTTGTGTGCAGAAAAAGGCAGTTTAGAAAAGAAAATGGTTCTTGGTGGCATCTGGTTTTGTACATTCTGATTTTGTTCGTGCTGATTTAATTATTTGTTGTTATCATTGTGAGTCCCAAAACCCCCTGTTGAAGAATATTTCATGGAGTGGCCCTGTGTCTGCAACCCCCCAAAAACTGCTAAACGACTGGCATTCCCAAGTGCCCCTCTAGCAGCCTCTTCTGTGTTTTGGGAGAACTGAATGCAGTGATATGAAGGCTATGAAACATCTTCAAGTTGATACTAACAACTGCACGTCTCTAAGAATTTGTCCTGTGAGCTGCTAACAGATTATTTCAGAAAGTCACATCCAAAAAATAGTTCTAGACACAGGGATGTTGGGAGAGATGTTCACTTTCTCCGGTAGGAAACACTCTCTTTCTACATTTGAAACATTCCTGATGTTTCCTTAAATTTTTAGTCTAATTAGACTAAATGCTAAGTTCATTGCAGAAATTTTTCTTTTTAGCAGAACGGATTTAAACACTTTAATGTCCTTTTTCTTGGTTTATTCTGATTCATTGTCAACTGCTACTGATTGAGCATCAGAATGTGATTGTCRTCTTATCAAAACATGTAGCAAAGATGTAAAACTTTTTTAATTCTATGCCAGTTGCTTAACAACCATGGAGGGAAAAGGTTTCTGAACCATTTGAAAGGATTGTTTTTAAAGATGTACTATCTCTCCTTCCCTGAAAGCCCAATTGAAATTAAACTGGTGCCAAAATACACCCCAGTCCTTTTTTGTCTGTTAGTAGCAGAGTGCTGCTGGAAGCATAAATGCTTGCACATTTGCCTAGTAAGTATTTATTTTACAATTTCTCAYGCTTTTCTAGAATATTTATTGCAGTAATTCTCAATTTTACAGCATCAACTACCAATGCCAGTCCAGTCTCTACATCCTCAACTGTTGTCAATATTTCCACGTCAGCAGTAGCCAGCATCTCACAGGTAAAACTTCCTTGCTAAATTTATGTGCAGCATCTCCTTTATCTTTGTTTAACATGTTACTCAAAAATAAGATAGGGACATCACTTTAAATGGAGCACGGTGGTATTGGAGTTGTGGGGCTCAGTGTATAACTCAAAGTCACCAAATCACTCCTTTGGTGTCTCTTTGACCATGGTGCTTCTCTGTTTGGCCTTTGCAACAAACTCACTTCATCTGTTCAAAGCTGTTGCCTCACCTGCAAACTGTGAGGTGAGGCTTAAACAGAGGTTTCTGCAAGAGAGGTGGAGGGGAAGAAACAATTCAGATATTTTGAGGACTAAACCTACAGGGAGGATTAGAGATGGATGTTTTTTGGAGACTTTTGTTCTCCCTTAGCAAGAATAGGAAGTGAGGTTGTACACAAACAAAACCCCAACCCAGTAAAGTWRGATGYRCATTCTGATGGCAGACTAGAACAAWGTGAAATGGCCCTGCAAACTAGGAAAGAGCATTTCCTCCCTGCCTTTTACCTCTGTGGGTGGTTAACTGCCATTCTGAGTACCTGGATATACAAAGGAAGACTTCAGTGTCCAACTTTCCAGAAAGAGAATACAGAAAGTGTGRAAAATGCAATGGATGCACAAAAATCCTTCTGTGCCTATGCTGTTGCTTTTTAAGCATAAACTTGCTTGGAATTRTAAAAGGACAAAAATATTTTCTTTTAGTCTTTCAGGCCAAGGTACCTGGTTCACAAACCCAGGCTGCTCTTCAAGGAAACCAGGAGAGCACAGTGTACCAAAAACAGTGGGATGTGACATTTGGGGTTGCTACTTTTTTTACTGTCAGTAGCAGAAATTAAAATCCTCAAGCACAGCTCCAGGTGCTCAGTGATCTGCTAAATTAATAAATAGTTTTCATAAATGGATGCCTTCCAGCACAGCAGGCAGAATTATTGCTTGATGAAGTGAGCACATGAGTAAGGGCCATTTTTCCTGTCGTTCTGCCCTCAGCCAGGCCCAAGGTCACTTTCTGTCACTGTCAGTACATTTGATATCAGGAAGCCAAATGCAAAACAAAATCACACATTCCAGAGCACAGAGAGCATTCTTATCTTGGCACCCACTCAACTCCCCTATYACTGTCACATCATTCATTATGAATTAATTTTTGCAGACACTGGCAGCAGAGGAGTGGCCCTGTGATCACTGGCCTCCTCTGCAAAACCTGCTTGTGCAGGGGCCATTGGGAAGCCAGAGCTCTCAGTCCTTTCTGGGAATATCTTACCATGCAGAATGAAACAGCATAAAGTCAGACTGTGCTCTTGCTGGGATTTTTCTTGGGCAGAATATTCTRGCACAAAAGTTATCCTGATTCAGAGTTTTTTCTGAATGTGGTGTCCTACCATTACTAACCCTTTCCTCCAACAGGAATATCCTACGTACACGATCCTTGGGCAGAGTCAGTACCAGACCTGTTACCCGAGCTCAGGCTTYGGAGTGGTGCCACCAGCAGACAGCAGCACAGAGAGCATGGCATTGGCCACAACCACGTACCCAGCTGAGAAACCAAACACCCTGGTGCCAGCACGGGCGGTRCAGAGACCTTCCTCTGGTGAGACAGGGTCTGCAAAATACCTCTGCTGAACAGTGCAGGGGGCAGGTGTGGGGAAACATCTCCAAAGGGTACCTGTAGCATCTTTTCATGCTGGGTTGGATGGGACTCTTGTCTTCCTTGTCAGACTGGTTTCACTGGTGTGCAGAGTGTTATGGTGGGCCAGCCAAACTCGGGTATCAGAGGCTTCCTACTGCTGTGATTCCAGGACACCTACCACGTGCTCTGTGTGCCCTACGGAGAGGGAGTGTGAGGAGTCACTTGMAGAGTTGCCAGCAGCAGCTCACTGGGGTCTGGATGTTTACTTTGGCTACAGGGTGGTTTCTTGTGTTCAGTCTCAATGGCTCCTGCTTCCTCTTTGTCTCCTGCAGCCAGGTGTTCAGAGTACCTGGCAGCCATGACAGAGCTGCCCGTCCCAGTTATGGGGAGTCCTCCAGGACTGCTCCTGCATTTTCTGTCACCCCTCTCRCTGAGCTGGTCTGTGATGTGGCCAGCAGTACATGCTTTCCTTTCCTCTGCCTTGTGATTTCCTTTCCTCTGCTGTGCTTTGCTGTGAGCACATCTGCAGAGCCATCAGCCACTGGCACTTGTCCGGTGAGAGAAGGTTTAAGATGGCAAGGGAAGTAGAAACTGTATTGAAAAGGTTTAGTTGCCTGTTCTGGAGAAATCTAATCTTTGGTCATTTCCACTAGTGCTGGGTTGTGTCCCATCCTCAGAAGTGTTAAATAAGAAATATCAAGGACAAGAGCAAAGACTTAGTGCCTTCTTCCGGTGCCTTGCGTAAGGAGTTAGGACATTGTCCCCTGTATTGTTGAGCAGTTTTAAATCGAAATCTGCTGTCTATTGCTGATTTCAAACTGGGGAAAAAAAAATCCAGATTCCAATCATTTTTGTTGGTGTCCTGGATCTAGTCAGGCTGGRGGAAACTTTCTTCCCAGTAGCTGTGCTGGTGCAGGATTCCTGGCTAAAACAATGCTGATAACACAGAGTGTTTTGGCTCCTGCTGAACAATTCTTGTACAGGGTCAGGGCTTTCTCCCCTCCACACTCCCAACAAGCATGCTTGAGATACACAAGACCCTGGAAGGGGACAGCTGGCATGAGGTGACTATAAGGGATTTTCCATACTGTATAATACCATCTTCAGCAATAAAAACTGAAGTAGAGGAAGAGGAGGGTGTGTGGGGCTTGGCTTCTAGGGTGAGTCTTGCTTAGAGAGGGGCTGGGTGTCAGCCTGTCTTTGCAGCCCTTTGCCTTATTTATCTTCCCCAAGTCCATCAGGAGTACCTGAGCTCAGCCAAGTCCTCCAGCTCAGTCACACAACCTGCAGGCAGGGATGGTGCCTGCCACTGAGCCAAGCATACAAATCTGTGGTCTGGGGCTCAGTGAAGTTCAGACCTGTCTCCTCTTTACCTGATGGGTTGCTATCGACAGGGGTGACAAACACACTGCTGTGATGTTATGCATCAAGATGTGTGGTGCTCCAAGCACTTTCCCTCTTTCAGGTAACAGTTGTCCTCTAGTTGAGGTGAGCAGCATCAGTTTTATCCATGAGAATTAGTTCTCTTTTGCTGCCTGAACCCAAACCTGACATACTGACCAGTTATTTCAAGGTCATGGGAATGGCCCAGTTGTTGATGTTTTCAGTGCCATTTTCTTAGCTCAGGAATTCTCCAGGTTCACCATTTTGCACTGATTTTCAYAGGAATTGCAATGTCTCATCTTCAAGCCCCAGACTGAATTAAAGCTCTTCCAAGCCCCCGTGCCCTCTGCCTTCTATCTATAGGTCTGGTCTTATTTTGGAGCTAGCTAGGCAGATGTCTGGAATGTTAATTCTTYTGCCTGAACTGTAATAAAAGATTCATAGGGTATCTCCCATCATGGTCCTTATACTTTGCACGTCCATATCAGTGATTTTTATGGAGGTTGTGTACTCTTTCCCTGGGAAGGGTGTTCTCACAGTAGCAGAACAGGCTGCATCACATACCCCTGTCAGTCATGGCCATGCTGCTTGGCCAAGGCTGTGTCTCCAGGGCCAGCATCATCCCTGTTACTCTTTTATATTCAATGGTCTATTAAATGAAACAGTTGAGTAATTAAGTAGTTCCAGGGCAGTGAAACAACTGCAGGGTTCCAGGTCTTAGGATGGAGGGTGCTCTGCTCTGGCTTTGCTCTGCAGGCAATAGCTCTTGCAATAGCTCTGTCCTGGGAGACTGAATTGAGGAGACACAGCTGTTTTGAAATTATGGGACAGAGAAATCATCATTTGTGTTCTAATCAGGGTTCAACTACCACTGCATCCGTGTAGTAAAGTCACATCTTACCTTTTGCAAAGGTGGTTTGTGGCCAGTGCTGAATTGGTGTTTGTTTTGAGACATGAGGGGATGAGAGGTGTGTGATTTCTTTCTTCTAGGAGATGCATCCACAAGTCCTTTGCTGCCAAGAGCAACWGCAAGTAAAGAGTTAGATGAGCAAGCACGAAAAAACATCCCTGGGAAGAACAGAGGGAAGCGGAAAGCAGATACCTCCTCCTCACAAGACAGTGAACTAGAGGTAAATAGTGATCTTCTTTTCTACAGGTAGCACTGCAGAATAGTGTGGTGGTGAAAATTCTCCTCCCTTTTTTTTCATTCTGTCTCCGTAGAAATAGAAGGGGATTATAGAATGATTTGGGTTGAAGGGACCTTTCAGGGTCATCTAGTCCAGCCACTCTGCAATGAACAGGGATATCTATAAATAGATATCCGGTTGCTCAGAGCTGTATCGAGCCTGGCCTTGAATGTTTCCAGGAATGGGGCATCCACTACCTCTCTGGAAAATCTGTGCCAGTGCCTCACCACTTTAATTGTAAAAGATGTCTTTTTTACATTCAGTCTAAATTTACTTTGAGTTTAAAACCATTCCCCCTTGTTCTATTGCTATAGGCTCTACTRAACRGTYTRCATGGGTTCAAATKGAAGGAGAGTAGGTTTAGATTAGATATTAGGAAAACAGGGAGAGAGTGCTACTGGCTTGTACTGGTGTCCACTCTGCCCTCCACCTTCTTCAGCCTGGACCAGTGTGAGGGGTTATTCCACCCCACATGTTGGCCCAGCTCTCAATATCAAAGTCCTTCTGTACCAATACCCTGCCATTGCTCATGGCAGCCCATTGCGTTATTTATAACAAAGATATCTCTGAGAAACACTATTTACCTGATCTTCTCCAGATCACAGGAAGTGATCACTTCTACCTCAGCAGGGYTCTAAAATTCATTAGCACTCTAAGCTTTACTTTTATTTAGAAATGTGTGTACTCCTGTGGCAGTATATAAAGTCCACTGCAATAAATTGAAGAGTTTAATGTGTTCAGCCTGTGAGATGAGAACTGTTGTTCACATAACAGCATAGTTAAAGCATAGTTCAGGTAACCACAAAATTAACTGTAAAATTTTCTCCCTTATGGTAGTTCAATGCCTGGAATATCCCTGCTCTAACCTGCTCTTGTTCTCTGTGCAGCGGGTGTTTCTCTGGGACCTGGATGAGACCATCATCATCTTCCATTCCCTTCTCACAGGGTCTTATGCTCAAAAGTATGGCAAGGTAATACTGTATTTTCCATGGAAGAAAACTCATTTCTGTCAGGCAGAATTAAATGTTAGTCTTTGGTAACCTAATAGAATATTTTTAACTGCATAAGGTGATAGTTTTAATTTGTTGGCAGTTTGGGCAGGGAAAGAACCAAATTTGGCTTTATACACAGCTAGGAAATGGACATCACCAACATATCCCTTCTAACAATGTAAGTCTGTCAGACTGGTTTTATCCTCATTGGGAACTACTGAGGTCCTAGCAGATACAGCAAGGAAGTGGTTTTTCTCCTTCAAAATACATTATTTTGTGAATCTATTATCAAAACAGATTTTTGAGTGTTTTGTATGAGCTGACTGTGAAAATGCATCAGTCTCTCCTGGGAGGCAGTGTTTTGTTAAATTTTGGGTCAGTGTATTATCAGAACGTGGAATTTTTTTTCCTTTTTTTTTAAATTGAATTGTTTAAACTATTTAATGTATCTGGAATTATGCCAGGCTAGACATACAGTGGAAAGCTCTGTGCAGTTTAACTGATGAGAGATGATGACCATTCCCTTCTGTTTGTATCCACGTGCACTTACTTTTTTTTGTGTTTTGCCAGGATCCAACTCTAGTGATTGGCTCAGGTCTGTCCATGGAAGAGATGATTTTTGAAGTTGCTGATACTCACTTGTTTTTCAATGACTTGGAGGTACATGGCAAATGTGTTTGAAAGGCAGAACTCCTCATTACCATGTCAGAACTACACTGCACTGTTTGTRAGGGCTCTGTGCCTCAGAGTCTCTTACTGCTTATTGTATGCACAGCCCAATCAGAGGTGCATTCTTAACTGAGACAGGCATTCTGCAGTCAGTGCAGGAGCTCTGCACTTCTAGTGTCAGGAGCTCTCTCAATTTCTTCTGCTTGAACCCATACAAATAAAAAGATGTCTGATCCATCCTGTATTTGCATTTCTGGTCAGCACCTTTGCTTCCATAGATCCTCTCTTGAAATGGAGACCTGAGATGTGAGGACAAGRCAGTCTTGAGGATGTCAGTTCTCAAAGTTTGTGACTAAACCAAGGACACAGTGCAGGAGGTGACTGTGGAACAGCTTTGAAGGACACACTGCATAGASAAGGAGGGCCCACAGCACCCTCCCTTTTTGAATATGTACAGGGGCCAGTTAGTTGTAGGTKTATCACTGATGCACAGCATGGAAAAACAAGATGTGTTTGTTGATGCAGAGTCTTAAGTGTTATTTCCATTATGGCTGTGACTACTGGGCAGCAGTGAACTTTGCAGAGGTGGCAATGGGTTATCTCCCTGCCTTAGGGGAAAAAAAAACCAACAGAAAATCAAATGAAAACACCTAATACAGTCTGTGCTGGAAAGGGAGTCATTGATGTGTTAGCTGTGTGCTCAGCTGCAGGATGTACTTGCTGTAGATGTTGGTTAGTGAGTTCAGTCAGCTGCACTAAGCACCAGAGCCATGGCAGTGCCACCACACTGTGGTTCTATTGGCTCGTGGTGGGAAAATGGAATAGCAGTGTTTGACCAGACARTGYRGTTTTGGGGTATTTTTGATTTGGTTTGCTTTGCTTTTCTGAAATGGCAGAAGGGTTTCAAGTGACAAGTGAGCTTTGAGTCCAACCTATTCAGTGAGTGTTGAAGTTAATTTTTTGCAGAAAACTAAAAGGCATAGGAATGTGCTTTTTTCAATCCTGTCTGGTACTTCAGATTTCAGGCTGGGCAAGGGCCTCTAGAGGTAGAGAAGTAAAACCCAATACTGGCAGATGGAGCTGCCAGTGGAAGTTCTCTGGGTTTGTGGAGGTAGTGTGGCATGGCTTGTTGCTGTTGGGAAGKGTGAAGGGATTGGTGTATATCACAGTTTCTTTCAATCTGCAAATGTCAGTGTRTTTCTGGATTACCACAACCTGACTTCGTCTGCATTTTTTTTTTTTTGTCTTTAACAGGAGTGTGACCAGGTACACATAGAAGATGTAGCATCTGATGACAATGGCCAAGATCTAAGGTAATGTACTGATGAATGCAGGAAATGTATTGCTGATATAATTAGGTTTTGTGGGAACTTCAAATAAAGATGTGGTTAAGGGATAGAGGTCAGCATTGTGCARGGGATGAAACCYGGCAAGCAGYRTTTGTTTGCTGGGGGCCATTTCTTTGAAGACTACAAAGAATTATGAGTTTTGAAATTATATTGTGAATTATATTGTCCACTGTTGAATGCTGCCTCTGTGCTCAATGACTTGTGAAGAATGGAGAACCAACACTTCAGATCTCATGAGAACAGCATTAGACAAGTAACCTATTCTAGTGGAACAAATCCCTGCCCATGGTGGGTGTTTAGAATGAGATGATCTTGAGGGTCCTGTCCARCCTAAACCATCCTGTGATTCCATGATCTTGACCTTTGAAAGTCCTGCTACGGTTTGCATCCCTCTGAGAGCTGATGGTCCTCACTATCAAACAAGGTGAGGTAGTAGTTTGTACTGAGCTGAATTGGCTCATGAAAAGGTCTGAGAAATGTCTGTCAGAAAAAAAGAAATACAGGGAAAGTGGTGAAGCAGGACTTTCTTCTTGCAGTCATAAGCTGGTGAAGCAGATTGTGGAGCTGGAGTTGTGATGGAAAGGCATGAATGTTATCGAAGATGTTGTGCTGGGGTTTATTGCTGCAGGATGAGGAAGGGTTCAGTGAAAAGATGCTCTGTATGGCAGAGGAGTGAGCAGCCAAAGAGGAAAGGAAGGTTTTGTAGTGAAGGATGTGAAAGGAGTTGTATCAGCAGCAGTTCAGAGCCAGCAGCARCTGTAGCTGGATGTCAGCATGCATTTGCACAGAACTGGGCTCTGGTCTCTGGGTGCCACGGTGCTTGTGCAGCTCCTCTCCTCTCCAAGGTGTTTTCCAGCTGCTGTCAGCACAGCCTGCCAGAAACACTGCAGTGGTTCTGCTGCTGTGGCACACCTAACATCTGCTTTCCTGGAACAGCAACTACAACTTCTCCACGGATGGATTCAGTGGCTCGGGAAGCAATGCCAACCACAGCTCCTCAGTGGGTGTGCAGGGAGTGGACTGGATGAGGAAACTGGCCTTCCGCTACCGCAGGGTACGCGAGATCTACAACAAATACAAAACTAACGTTGGAGGTGAGTGGTCACCTGCACTGAGATCTGGGCACTGAACAGAGCTTGTGGGGCCAGACTCCATCCTTCCTCAGAGCTTTGGCTTTCCTGATGTGTGGACATGAGAAGTAAACCATTCTCCTAGCGTTAACTGGGATCAAATCTCCATGGAGTTTTAAGAGGGCATGTCTTCCAAAACTGAACAGTGTGCCAATGCAGCCACGATTATCATGGAGATAAGGCTGGTCACTCAGTACTAGAGGTAAAAGTTTTGGTACAAATAGTATCCCTTTGCTAATTTGGTATGAAAGGCTGCCTGGCACTCTGCTCAGCAGTGGCCTGAAGGACTCATTTGCCATGCTGCTCAGGACATCTCATTCATGTCTCCACAAAGTCTGTCTTTGGTTGTGCCCTTGTCAGGAAATAACAGTGGTCACCCCTGGGCTGTCAGACCCACAGTCAGACATGACTTCTCTGCTCTCTCTTCCCAAAGTCACTTAAAGGCTTCTAGTTTTGCTTCCCTTCCAACTCCAAAGCAGTCATAATGATGCAAACCATAGTGAGCAAATGGAGATGAATTTTCTGTTTATTCTGATCTTGGCACTGTGAGCCCTGGAAAAGGGATGCTGCTGGAGCAGCTGACTTGGCCTGGTTGACTGTGGGTTTGGGTATCCTTTGCCTAACAAATACCTTGATAGATGGTTTTCTTGGACATACTTTCTGAAAACTAGATGTTCAAAGCTACAACTTTCATCATTAAAAATCTGCCTGTATGGTCTGCAGTTCAGTGTGTTGCAGTTACSTGATTTCTTGTAGGGATCAGATCACGATTCTGCATTTTGCATGTGGGAGACCTGGGTGCAAGTTTTTCATGATGAAGCAGCTGTCAGTACAGCCTGCTGTGGGTCCCCCTGTAGTTTCATTGCAGAGGAGTGGTGTAACAGAGGGCTTGGAGGGTACGTCATGGATAGAAATTGGAGAGAGGTTCAGGCTCCACATGCTTAGTTGTTGCTGTATTTATTGTCAGGAGTAGAAATGGGCTCCACTTCTGTCTGCTTTTAATTCAAAACTGGAGRTTTGATGAAAATACTTTAAAGAGATTACAAACACGGAATAAAAGAAGGGGGGGTTGTTCAAAAAAGATATGTAAAATGGCTTAAAGTGGAAAGCGTCCTTGGAAAGCAGAAAGTYAGAGAGGGTGACTGTAAGAGTTCCTTCCTGTGCTCTGTGGCCTTGGACCCCTGCTACTGTGAGTGCTTTGTATGAGAGAAGTGCCTTTGATTGCCTGTGTCCTGAGAAATACTTTGAAATAATCACAGAAAAGTGTCTGCCCAGTTTCCCACACTCAGACTCCTGGATGGATCTCTGGGCTCACTTGTGTCACTGGGAGCCRATTTCTTTCATTGCTTTGAGTCAGGCAGTCCAGCTTCCAGARGCCTTCAGTTCTGTTATTTATTGCAGAACAGTCAGTTGGTGCATTAGGGGATGGCTCTCCCCATGTCAGACTTGCCAAGCAAACACAGGTTCCTTACCTTCCAGGCCTGCTTAGCCCCCAGAAGAGGGAAGCTCTGCAGCGACTGAGGACCGACATAGAAGTGCTGACAGATTCCTGGCTGGAAACTGCGTTGAAGTCCCTGCTGCTCATCCAGTCCAGGTATGGAATCTGGAAGTTCACACGAGGTTTTGTCAGCCCTTTCTCACCCTCGGGTTCACGTGCAGCRCTGTGAACTGCCCCTGTCACACTGCTGCTGCTTGGCAAGGCTGATGAGAGGCCAAGGGACTGAGGGTGACAACACCCCGGAGCACCCTGTAGGATTTCTGTGCTGCAACACCTCTAGTTGGGGAAGTCCTTATGCTCACCAAATGGCTTTTCTGACAGAGAATTCTGCCAGAAGCAAACAAGCAAAAATTGTGAAGCCTTGGCCTCAAACATCCTGAGAGCAGGACAGCAAAGCACATGGCGCTTGGGGAAGCTGAACAGACTGCCTGGAGCARTCTTGGCACTGCTGCCTGTAGATGTGCTGTTACAAGTGTTTTTCTTCTTTTAGAAAAAACTGTGAGAACATCCTCATCACAACCACCCAACTGATGCCAGCTCTTGCCAAAGTTCTCCTGTATGGATTGGGCGAGGTGTTTCCCATCGAAAATATTTATAGTGCTACAAAAATAGGTAAGGGATTGTGCCAAGTCTCTGGCACTGCAGCATCTGCTGAGGATTAGCTGGGAGTTTTACATGGGGAAATGCAATTTCTGCAGCTGAACAGCCCCRTGCTGTGGTCCAGCTGGGCCTTGGGAGCTAAATGGGTGTTACCCCTGCCAGTCAGACAATAAGTGTTTCTGTACTGGGAGGAAGGGACCTCTTCAGGCTCTATTTCTGTCTGCTTGAGATTCCTTACAGGGGAATTGTCTTCGGCAGGTAAAGAGAGCTGCTTCGAGAGGATCGTGTCACGGTTTGGAAAGAAGGTCACCTATGTGGTGATTGGAGATGGGCGYGATGAGGAGGTTGCAGCCAAGCAGGTGGGTCTGACTGCAGAGGTGGAGCAATGCTGGCAGGCATTTTGCCTACAAGAACTCTTGTTCCAAGGCTGAACTCTTCAGGCTGGGACAGCCTTTGATGCGAGAGATGTGTTAAGATGGGCAGTTTTCTGGCTCCTGGGTGTTCATAAAGTTTCTCTTTTACTATTGTTTAGGATTGCATATAACACTGTCCCTGTCAGCAGTGTCTTGTGTAGCATGTTGAAAGGTTGGATTCAATGATCTTGGARGTCCCTTCCATCGYTGATGATTCTAGGGTTCTATATCCTGATTGTAGCTGGTGRCAATGCAGGATAATGCAGTTTCTCAGGAGCACAGAGGAGTCAGGGCTCAGGAGCAGCAGCAGATCAATACAGCACCTGCCATTAGGCTGGGTTACAAACAAGGAGCAGAGTTTGATTTGACAAGCCTGAATGGATTGTTCCGTTGTGCTAATTAGCAGTGAAGTGCAAAGATGACTGTCARGACCTTGACTGCAGGCTTCACACATTCTGCCATGTGCCAGAGCTGTCATCTGTGCAGGTTCTATGGGGGCCCTGGACAGGCCTTGCTGGGTGCAGCAGCAGCTCACAGCCAAAGTTTCCATCACAAGCAGCTGACAGTGCTGGTGCCTGTCAGCACAGATGTGCACATAAGATGGGCTCCAGATACAGTTGTGCACATGGCTGAGATCTGTCCTGAGCGTGGTGTGCTCAGATCTACCACACTGCACAGTCCTGCAATGCTCCCAGCCTCCTTCCACTTCAGCTGAAAATCCCTGCATACACCTGACTGTCCTCTCTCTGTTACAGCACAACATGCCATTCTGGAGGATCACCAATCACGCTGACCTCGTGTCCCTTCACCAAGCCCTCGAGTTAGACTTCCTGTAAGAAGCTGGAGCAGAGACGTGACTGCAGCTCCCATGAGCCCTCTCAGTTACTGGGGGGACAGAAATCTCACATGTTTGGGGACTCACTTTTCAGCTTGATGAAGAAAACATACCTAGTGCAAACTGTACAGTGGAATATGACAGCAGGTCATTCCTCAGGAGCMTGGGCCCTGCCAGTTCCAGAGGTGTCCTGTAAAGAAGGCCTAGACTCAGTAGAGCTAGAGCTTGTCTGAGAAGGGACTTGCAGAGCCAGSTGAATGCCTCTGGCAGGTATCTCCAGATGGAGGGGCCATACAAGAGCAAATGTATTTGTAGGAGCCTTCTCCTTTCTATTCAGCTTAGTTGTAGAACCCAAGTAAACACAAAACTTTATTTTTATAGGAAAATGCTGATGGCAGAGCTGAACCTTCCTTGTTTTGCAAAGCCGAAGAACTATGGTTTTTTTTCATAGGAAATATTAATGAAAATGTCAAAAATACCTCTATTGCTGTAAAATGTGTCCTCTCTCTTTCCCTGGGTGTTCAARTCAGTTAATTTATTACAATGTCCTTGTGTTATTTCCTCAGTGTAGGARTACTGGAAAATGTAAGGGAATGCTCCTGGGATATGTGGTTCTTTGTAGAGGCAAGTGTTGATGTTCCRAGTTGATCCCAGTGGCTTCTAGTCAAAGTGTGCACATGCCTTTTTAGCCTGCAGGAGATCATTGGATTCCAGCCTTGGTYTGGACTGTAGATCCCACAGATTTTCCCTGTAAAGGAAAATGAAACCGCCTATGAACATCAGGTACAGCAGACTGGTGCAGACTGCTTAGATGTCAACAGAGTCKTCACCTGGACTAGGAATAATTTAATTCCTATATCCTTGTGAATGTTGGAGAGAAGGCTCTGGCTATGGTATAACCTTCATCTCTGTGTTCCTGACTCCATTTGTAAGTTCCTTTTAGTAGAATCAGATCAAATTTTCTTATATTCTTTRCATTAGCCTAACAACATAGTGAGAAACAAATGCCTTGTTAAGAGGGACTTAATTTTCTAAGACACTGTGACTTGGCAGCATGGAGCACTTAGAGAGATGGTGGTGCTGATTTTTCTGCTATTGTCTTAGAATAGAGGCTGGAGTCAGTGACCTGCAGCTCCCCTGGCCAGGAACAGCCAGCTGAGGACTGGGGCTGGCACAGGGGTTGGTTTAGTGCCAACTCAAGCTGTGTTTGGTGGCCTCCCCATGTACCCCGATGGCACCAGCTCAGCAGGTGCCCTGAGGACWGGTGTGTGCTGTGCCCCAGCACCCACTGCTCCTGCAGAGCCAGACCCGTGGCTGCACCCAGACCCCTCCAGACTGTGGTCACCAGCTCCACATCACCCATCTGGGACCYGTGGGAGACTGGGCTGCAAGTCTGTCACTGCAGGGAGGACACTGACCCATTTGCTGTGCCCACACAGGCAGGGATGTTTGCTGCATTCCTTCCATGGTATCATCCATCAGTGCAGGGAGAGTTGCTAGGCCAGCTCAGCACAGGTTCTGCTGTGCCCTGGGAGCATCTGTTCCTGGGCCAGCTCCAGTGACACAGGTCAGAAGGTGCCTAGAGCCAGGGTTTGGATACCTCATGCTCAGGGACTGGACCCAGGAAATCTATTTCACATGGTCCCAGCTTCAGTTTCCCTTTGGGTTGGTTTTTTTTTTAAATAATTAAATTGCAATCAAAGGTGATTCTCAAGGGTGGTCCCAGGAGTCAGGAGTGATCTGCTTTCCATTCAGCTCCTTGCCTTGTGCTYTGATCCCATGTGGATGCTGGGTCTGTGTATTTCCCCAGGAGMTCTGCAGCAGGAACACGCTGTCCATGTGGGAGCTGCTGCCTGCAGGACACAGAACCACGTGTCCTATGAGGAAAATCTGAGGAGTCTGCTGTGGGTGTTAGTGGAGTGAGAAGGAATTTGGCTGCCCTGGGGGCTGCTGGCCCAGCAGAGCTTTGGGGGTGAACAGGCTGTGCTGGAACTGCTCAGCAGTGGATTTGGAAAGGGGAGCAAAAGTACCCAGGGATGTTCTCTGTCTACACCCAATGGAGAGCTGAGGTGTGTTAGCAGCTGTTCCCCAGCTCCAGCTCCCTCACTGCTGGGTCTGTACACTTCCTCTGGAGTCCCTGAAGTGCCAGAGCTGTGGCAAGGGGCAGCCTCATTGTTCCCTGGGTTGGAAACATCACCAGAGGATCAGGACTTGGTTGTAGTCACAGAAGAGCCTGTGCTGATGCTGAACATCCTCAGCAGTTCCCAGCCCATCCAAAGGTGTCCTGTAAGCAAGTTTGGGAGCTGTCCCAGCCTGTGCAGCAGCCTGTTGKGAGCATGTCTTGTACTCCAGCTGGCTGAACTTTGGGATTAAAACCTGTGCCTTAACCTCCCACCACTGGCATGGCCAAGCAGCCCCTGTGCTTTGCTCCCAYCAGAAGCAGCTGACCAGAGCCGTGCTGGAGAGGGGCTGGGTTTGCCYGGGCACTGGCAGCGGGTGCTGGACCCGTGGGCCCGAGCTGCCTGGCAGCTGGCTGTGCTTTGTGTTTGTTTACTTCAAATGTTTTAAGGAAATTTTAAGATGTTGGTAAAATTTTAGCTGAGTGTGGAACTTGCAGCCACTGACATTTCATACTGATATTTATATGATGTTTCCTTGAATGTATGTAAAGTACTTTTATAACAGGAGGTTGATGGTACATTTCTGTGTTTGTTAATAAAAGGGTGACCTGGCTATTTTATTTTTTCCTCTACTGGCTGAATTTAAGCCTTTTCCTGTCTCTCTTGAGGGAGGAACAGCAATCTATCCAAGCATTGATTTTCTCCTGTCTCTGTCACCAGTTCAGCTACAGTCAGGTCAGGGGTAATGGGAGAGCAGAACYGAACACCTGAAGGACAGTCAGCCTGCAGGCCCAGAGCACCTGAGCTCACTGGGGTGCTGCTGGCCTCCCCTTCAGCTTCAACACAGCCACAGAGGCTTTAAAAACCACCTGATCCACTAATATTTGTTGCCTCTGATAGCCCTGGGGGGAAATGTCTGTGCTGGCACTGGTGGTAAGCAGTAGGAGCCCTGGAGCTGCCAGCATCTCTTTTGCCATGCTACGAGGGGCGAATCCTGGGTGCTGCTGGCTGTGGGGCCTTTGCCTGTTGATGGTCTGTAATGGAAACTGTCCTATGAACTGGAAAAAAAGTAATAAAGTCTTTATTTTCTATAGTCAGTGCTTCAGCTTCTTCTCTGCCCTGTGTTAGTTGCTGCCGCCATGACAGCCAGGCTTGGCTGCACCAGGAGCATTCAGGGGACCASAGGTCACTGCAGCCACCAGAGCTGCTCCTGGGGAGCCAGCAGGGCAGGGACCTGCTGCTGGGCTCTGCTCAGATGCCCAGGGGAGGCACACGGTGCTTCCTGCACAAACTTCCCCTTCCCATTTTCTTTTCAAGGCAACACCCCCTCCCATCCTCTGCTGCAATGCTGCTGGCCGTGGCCAGGGCTGAGCTTCTTACAAGAGCAGCTGGGAAACAGCATTGCAGCTGCTSCTCCACCTGCATCCTGCTGCCTTTCCCAGTGTGGAGGTTCCCTGCTGGSAAGGATGTGATGGAGGGGAAGGGGACAAAGGTCCATGCTGTGGACAGCCAGGATGTGYCACAGCTGCCAGGGTTTGGGCACCAAGCCTGGGAAAGTGGTGGGTGTGTGTGCCCAGGTGCTGGCACAGCACTAACCTCACTACTGACCCTATCAATCATCTATGGATGAGAAACTGGCTGTGGCCAATCCAGCCTGGCCTTGGGAGCACTGCCCAGGCTCTGGTGGTGGGAATGGCASCCAAGGGAGCATGGGGTGTCCACAAGGAGCCAGAAACCCTGAGCCACCCTGCAGCCACACTCCCAGCACAAGCCTCCTTCCCATCCCTCCCTGAACACGGCGATAACAGGTGAGCTTTGACCTTAACACCAAAACTAACACAAGGAAAATCCTGGCTGGAAACAGAAAGGTCAGATAACCAGAACCATGGAGGAAACAATTTCTCCCTCACCACCCATWTCCCTGCACAGCAATGGGAGCAGCAGGCACAGGAGAGGCAGAGAGAAAATAAACCAGTGCTCTTGATTTGATTTTTTTTGGAAAAACTAGTAATAAATAACAAGAAAAACTGACACAGCAGTGCAGCCATATGGCCACAGTGTGCTGGACTCACCACAAACACTGTGGCTTTCCTTAAGCAGGAAGGAACAGCCACGGGAGCCATGCTGAGTGCCATGGGACTCACTGCGTGTTACCACACCACCCCTGRTTTCTGCCAGGTCCCTCCAGCTGCCCAAAACAACAGCCCGGGGGCAGAACCAGGGGCACAACTAACATGTCTGCCTGCCCCTCACATCCCTTTAGAGGGCCTGCCCTCACACAGCAGACTCCACAGCAGTAGCCCCATTCAGGCAGTGCTGCCGTGCTGGCTGGGACAGGGGGAACTGTGTCTGGGCCAGCCACTGCATCCGCCTGTTCACAAGCTCTGGTTCCAAGAACGAGCGAAACCCCAGCCCATCCCTCTCTTCAYGGGCATCCACCTCATCATAGCCACCTTCCTGCTGCACCTGCATGTTGGGGTGCAGCCACTTGTAGTAGGTAAGCCTCAGCCCCAGCCCCAGCAGGTAGCAGGGCAGGGCAGCAGAGAGCACCAGGAGCAGGTACRAGTGCTGCTCAGAGGGAGCCTGGTCCAGCAGCCAGGTGAGGGCCAGCAGCGTGCTGTCCACCAGGATGAAGCCGTGGTAGATGATGCTGCGGTACAGCGTCCTTCCCTGTGCCACGTTGAACCAGCTGAAGTAGAGGATCACGGCCACAATGGCCCGGTAGAGCTGCTCAGGCCCAGGTGATTCCATGAAGTCTGTGCCCTGCAGGCTGACCCAGAGGAACATGGCCAGCCACACGAGCAGGAAGTGGAGAGCCACRCCGTAGGGCCAGAACAGGGCAAAGAGGGCGACCACCAGGATGCGGGGRCAGATGAGGAAGAGGTTCCACAGGAAGTAGATGATGGAGGAGCCCCAGCTCARCTCGTGCTTGTCCTGAAGGAAGGAGCGCAGGGACTGGTGGTAGTCCAGSAGAGACCAGGACACACACAGGAAAGCAGTGCCGATCCCCAGGCCTGCAAACAGAGGTCAAGCTGTTGAGGGGGGACCAGGGTGGCCCAGCTTGGCTGAAACCTCTCCCTGGACAGCACTGCTAAAATTAACTTCCCCCCAGCTCACAAAGCAGCTGCTGCCAGGGTCAGAGCATCAACACCCACATCTCTCCTCTGAACTTCTGCCCTCCCTGAGGACAAGGASGCTGGTGTCTGGCCTTGCTCAGAAGATGGGAAAGAAGTGCTGGGATTGCTCTGCAGAGCCCATCTCCCAGGCATRGRAGCCCCCAGCCCACACAGGYAGGTGAGCACTGGCTCCCACAATAYTGGGTTCCCCATATCCCTGCAGTGACACCTGCCCCCACCCCGGGAAGGGCACCACAGCACCTGCTCAGTGGCCTGTGCTCCACCCATACCAACATCAGCACCTCCCCGCTCCCCAGAGGGCTCCTGATTTCTCAACTGACCCTCAGCCTCTCTTAGGGCACCTAAGGGAATGACCACGGTGGTCCCCCAGCTCTAACCCTCCCACCCCAAGCCCAGCACAGTCCACTGGGGCATGTGAGTGCAGGACAGAGGTCCACCCTGTAGTGTGGCATGTCAAAGGAGTGACATGGGAGTGGAATGACACTTCCAGCAGTCTCTCCAGTCTGCCCCATCCAAGCCCACTCTGATCCCAAGCTTGCACCCTCCCAGCTCCCCTCCCTTGGCCCCCGATCCCTCACCCTGGGAGAGCTCAGCCTTGTTTGTCCGCAGGATGATGTAGAGGAGCAGGGTGAGCTGCGGGGTGTTCTCCAGGAAGGTCTCGAAGAGACGCAGCATGCTGATGTCGTGGGAGAGGAAGGCCATGTGTCTCTGCTCATCCTCCTCCTCTGCCTTTGCCCAGCACACCTTCCAGCCCACCTTCAGAGCWYGGATGCACCTGTGTGGRATGCAGCTGGTGGTGAGGGGCCAYGCAAGCACAGACCTTGGTCCCCACRCTGCCCTGACAGGCCAACAMACCCCACTCATCTATGTGGTTCCTTCCCCCTGCCCAAACCACGCAGCACAGTAAGCACACGATGCCCAACCATGGGTGAAGTGCAAGGGTCAAACTGAGCATCGACCTGAGCAGACCTGGATGATTTCCTTCCCTCGGCTCGGCCTCGCTACTCCCCTGAACTGCCGGGAGCGCCAAGGCCATGCCGAGGTTGCGGGGCGCTGTTCTGTTTGCCTCGAGGGCAGCGGCAACAGCACCGGGAGACGGAGCAAAGCAGAAGGGAAACTTCAGCTGCAGGGACACGGGCGGCTCCCACCCACACTTTTCATTGAGCTCCAGCCCGGGGCTGGGCCGAACCGCTCTGCCCGGGAGCCTCTCGGCCCTCTCAGCAGCCGAGGCACCCTCACCCCATCTCCGGGTGCGGGTCGTGCCGAGAGGCAGCGGCAGAGCTGGGGCTTCTGTCCTCCCCTCCCGCCGGAGCAGCGTGAGGGGCACCCGGGGGGCCGGGAGGAGCGGGGCCGCGGGATGCCGGGGGCGGACAGGGGGGGATGTCCGGGAACGCGCGGGGAGCTCGGTGCGGGGCTGCGGTACCTGAAGAAAAAGCCGAGCTGTAGGAGGTGCAGGGCGGCGAGCAGAGCCGTGGGCACGGCGGGGCGCAGCGCGGGCGGGTCGGAGCGCAGCCAGAGCCAGCTGCAGGCCTGGGCGGCGGCCGAGGCGGCGGCCAGCAGCGACAGCGACAGCGCGGCCCAGCCCGGCTGCCCGCGCCGCGCGTACTCCGCCGCCACCCAGCCGTCCATGCACAGGTCCAGCGCCGCCGCCACCGTCCCCGCCGCCGCCAGCACCAGCTGCAGCGGGCCGAAGCGCGGCGGGGCGGCTCGCCGAGACATCGGGGCCCCACGAGCGGGCCCGCAGCCGGCGGTGGCGGCACCGGCACGGRCCGGACCCACCCCCTCAGAGAGCCCGCCCCGGGCAGGCTCCGCCCCGGGCTGAGTGTCCCGCCACGAACCGACAGCTCCGGCTCCGCTCCCGCTGCTGCCCCGGGCCCGGCCCCTTCCCCTTCCCCACAGCCCCCGGCGGTCCCTCGGGCAGGGACAGAGCCGTTCCAGCCCCGGCAGCAGCACCCGCTCCCCTCCGCGCCCCGCACGGCTCCCGCAGCGGTTCCGCTACACCGGGGCAGAGCCGCCCCAGCCCTGCGGCCCCGGAGCGGAGTGTCCCTCCATAGCCGCTGCACGGCCCGGACACGAAGGGATGTGCGAGGTCTGACCCTAGGGGAAGCGGGGCGGAGGTGCCCCGGTGCTCGGAACGGGGGAGGACTGCTCGGACATTGCCCTTCGCTGTCGCTGGAAGGGATGCTCCCCTTAGCCCGCCCTGTTCCACGGCAGCTCCGCTCGCTCTGGCCCTGCCGCAGAGGGTCAGGACGGGCTGGGACACGGGGGATGTGCTGCGGGGAGAGCTGGGGTGGGACAGGCTGGAGCATCGGTCCGTCCAGCATAGCAGCACGCAGAGCTGGGGTGTCCCTGCCTTCAGCCACCCTCAGTACCGCCAGCACAGGACTGTGTTACCCAGCTGCACAGCTATTCTCCTTACTGCAAGCAATTCCACTCATCTTCCAAAAATCCCCATGGATTTTCTTCCTAACCAGCACACATCTTACAAAAAGAAAATTTGTACTTTTCTTATCAATTTGTACTTCTGGCTTCTAGATATGCTGAAATCCATAGCCAAATGTTCACCTGTTACACACCTACTGCATGATTTAGTCGCAGAGCTGTAGCCCATGGGCTACAGCTGGGCCACTGAACCCAAGCAGGATACTGGGATTTGCCCCAGCAGTAACCCCTGGCAGAGCAGAGCAGAAGCCCTGGGTCCCCCAGCCAGCCCCAGAGATGTTCCTGCAAGGAGCTGCTTTTGTGAAGCCAAGTCACTTTACGAGTCCCAGGCAACAGAAACCGCACCCTGCCCTTACAGCTCCTGAAAGCCCAGAGTTCACCAGACTGTGAGCCCTCTGACCCGTGAGCCCTGTGTGCACATGCTGTTATTCCAGCAGGCACCGTGTCTCTGGCCATTCAGCAATCTGCAGTTGAAGGACAGGTCAGCACAGCACAGCAGAGCAGCTCCCACCTAGCAGGCAGCAAATGCAGTTCAGCTTCTAAGACCTGGGTTCTGCTTTTTGTGACGGAAGTCATGGTTCCGTCTGTGGGAACACCTACACTACACACGTGAAATGCTCCTGAATATTTATGATTCTTGAACTGCTCACATTACAAATGTAAAGCACTCACCAGCCAGCAGAACCGTTTCCTACCACAGGAAGCTCACCATTGACTGCAGGGACAGTAACACCCTGCAGGAGCCACTCCGCAGCCTTCTGAACAAGACAGGGGGTGCAGAGAAACAGGAAATACCATTTCCTTATCTCCACCTCAATGCACTACCAGTATCAACCTGTATCCTAACTGGTTTTCTGTTAYGCTTTAAAAATGGTTTAAAGAATAAAACCTTTCACATGGTTTCATTTCACATTTCATTTGAGCTAAAAGCACAGCATGCATGTCTTTTGGCTCACACAGCATGTCCTGAGCTGGAAGAGACCCATAGGGATCAAGTCCAACTCCTGGCCCTGTACAGGACATCCCAACAATCCCACGCTGTGACTCAGTGTGTTGTCCAAACAATTCTTGAGCTCTGGCAGCCTTRGGGCTGTGACCACTCCCCATGAGGAATCTTGTTTTGGTGGCAGAAATGGTTCTGGCCCTATTTGGAGCACTGATAGAACATGTTATTTTCTTCAGTAGTACAATTATTTGATTTCCGTTTGAACCTTCAAGCAAAAGGCTGAGGAAAAAATAAGGACAATGAAAGTATGAGCTGTGCTTTTACCCCCAGGTTTTGTMATGCAATTTTCTTCTTCAAGGCAGAAAAGCCTCTAGAGTCACACGTGCCGCAAGGTGTCCCAAATTAAAATTTTATTGGAAATATTCAAAAGCTYAAGTAACAAGATCAGCTCTAGTACAAATATAGATTTAAATGCATGAACTAAACAATAAAAATACCTTTTCATGATTGCTGTACATTAGKAGAATACTACTCTTGGCTACCCACTTTGTGAAGAAAATGGAATGGAAGCTGAGTTAGGAGAAACAGCTCTAGAAACAAAGGACATCATAAAGAGGCTCCTTTCTAACAGGCATCCCATAAGGAGCCAAAAAAAAAGTGAAGGCTCTGAAGTTTTGAGTTCAGTTTTCCCATGTCTGTTTGCTTTCAGTCACATGGTCACAGCATAGAATCAGGTGCAGTTACCAGAATCAAGCATGTTGTRCTCATCCTTGAATTCCAATAAGCTGGCATTCACAGAATAACCAGGACYTTCCACAAAGAGCAAAGGTCACCCTCCATGTCACAGAACTCAGCAAGRTATCTTAAAACATGGACAAACGTTTGCTTGGAACTAAAATCTAAAGGAAYTTTACTCAGCATCTGTTGACCTATAGTGCTCATCATCCACCGTGGAGTAGATGTGTCCCTCGCTGCTGAGGAATTCCACGGCTTGCCTTGAAGAAAAAACCCACAGTTGGTAACCAGCTAGCAATTAGTTAGCAAAGGGAGATGAGCCAACACATTTCTGCTGGGGAATTCCCATTTACAGACCCCATCCCCACAGCTCCCTCCTGGCAGGAAGCTCTTGGTGTCTCTTTCCCAGGGACAGTGTAGRAGACACAGAAGTTTCTCCATAGCTGTAGCTATGGAAAGGTTAACGACTATTTTTGTGAGTCTCAAGAAGTTATGACACCGTGAAGGAGAACAGAACAGACTATCCCTAAATTTCTTATCAGTGTGCACAGAGCAAGGTAGTCCTTGAACAGGAGAAATACTACTGAGGCACTGCAGTACATTGCCACTGAACTGCTAAACAGCTTGTCTTGACAACAGGGAGCAAAGCAACTGGCACAAACTCATTCAGGGCAGTGAATCCTTCAAAAGCTCTGGCTCCTGTGCTGCTGGAACCACCCAAATCAGCCATGCTGATTCACAGGTGAGTGTCTGGCCTTGTCCAGTGTCCCCTCTGCCTCGGGAAGTACTGCCTGTATTTCCATAACGAACTTCATTTTTACACACTTACTTGATCGTTGACATACTCATATTGTGGAGCTGCTGTTTCAAGTCTTGTAGACTCAACCCCTCTGASAGATGGCAGTTTTTGATCAAGTTCAGCACCTGCAGGAGCAAGAACCAGCAYACTACACCACATCAGAGGAGCTTCTGCTGCCACTGCTGTGCTCCCAGAAAAGCTGCTGGCACTCACCTGGCTCTGGTGTGCTGTGAGACCATTCATTGGCAGGCTGACACCTCCTCCGTAGCCCCCCATGTTACTCATCCCAGTGGAAGAAAATGACTGTGGCCCTTTTGATGCTGACTGGAATGATGAGAATAAAAGTGCTGTGGTTATCTAGGCTACCCAAACCCACAGCATTAAAGACTCATTGTTATTTCTAAGACATCGGTAAAAATAGCTTCTTACGGAAGTGGATTGCAACACAATCTCTTTCCAAGAAAGCCAGGAATCTTATTACACCTTCAGTGCAGCCCAGCTTTAAGCTTTCCAGCCCCACAATTAGACAATTTTCCCAGGGAATGCAGAGGTCCCTCTTTGGGAGATCACCAGTCACCCAGGAAGGCCACGCTGGAATCAGGATCTTTGTACATACCATAAGATTTTTTCTGAGGATCATGTGTGCATTGACAATCTCTAGTATGTGTGTGGTGAATTCATTCATGTTCTCCAGAGGTATGATCCTAAATGCTACCAAGCTCTTCTTATTCTTTCAGAAGAAAAAAAAAAGAAAAAAACAAACAGAAAGCAAAGCAAATTATTTACATCACAGCAACAGAAAGATGCCCAACAGCCAACTCAGCCTTTCCCTCCAACAGCCATATCCCACGAGTGGGACAGCAGTGGGGAAAGAACTTCTCTGCATACAGCTGGTGCAAAACATCCTGACCTACATTTTGTGCTGGTTTTGGCTAGGGTAGAGCAGCACAGGCTAGTTTTTGGACTATTGCTGGACACAATGTTGGTAACACAGGGATTTTTTAGTCACTGCTCATCAATCCTTGCACAGAGCCAAGAGCCTTCCTGCYTCTCACACAGCTCCACCAGTGTTAGGCTGRGAGGGGACACAGCTGGGACCCCCACTGCCCCAAGGGAGAACCCAGATCAGCCAGTGTAATGCTCAGTTATAAAATTGGGGAAAGGAGAAGGAAGAGGCACACCTGTGCCTGCTCATGGGAAGYRTGGRATRAATTCCTTGTTTTGCTTTACTTATTAAACTGCCTTTATCTGAACTCATGGGTTTTCTCACTCTGACCATTCTGATTCCCCCCATCCCACTGGGAGCAAGCAAGCAGTGAGGGAAGGGTGTCATTTTGAAAAACAATAGAGACAGAGCCACTCCTCTTTCTAACCAGCTGGGAATTAACTGCACCTTAATGCATGCACCATTTATTTGAACATTTAGTTATGTGGCCTACCACATGTGCTACATAAAGTGCTACAAGAAGTCTCCCCATGAACCAGAACCTGGTCTAAGCTCAAGAGTACTAACACCCCAGAACCAGATGGCCAGAATCTACTCTGCTGAAAATACACTGATGATGAGGGGCATTTTGAAAGGTTTCTTATTTTAAACAGTCCTCTGCATTCAGGAACAATGAGAGCATTATTAAACACAACCCTGGCAGACAACTGAAGGATTTGTCCAGAAACCATGATTAAGTGACTATTCTAAAGCAGTCCACTAGCACTAAACCAGATCATCAATCCTCCCACTCCAGCCTCTTGGCTGGGACTCCCACACAGGTAACATGACCTTACCTGGAATGAMCGAAGGTGACCAGCTACTTTGACGTAAGTTCCTGGAGGTACTACAACATTCTCACCTCCTGCCTCCTAACAGAGAGGGAAAAAARAGAGGTTTGCTGATCTTGTTTCCATCTCTCAATTATCATAAATGACTTAGCAAAGCAGGTTCATCTCAAGCAAGAACAAACAATGCACATTCCTATGTCCAGTAAGAGTAAATAAAAAATAAAGAAAAACATTGATACATTTCAGAGCAGTCTGTTCTGCTGTCTGTCCACTTATGAGAGATTCTCACAATGCAACAAGAGGAAAGCAACCTCAAATAGTCAAAAATTAGGTATTGAATTCCATAATCTGGCTGCAGGATGGGGCAGGCCAGAGATGTTTTCGAACTCATGCTAAACTTGCAGTAAGACAACTGAACATCTGCCTGATTACCCTTCCAAAGATGTTCAACTGTACTCAGGTATACTAAACAGGCAGATGGTCATATTCAGCACCAGTGACCTGTGCTACAGCACCATTACTCTTGAATTTCAGGGATGTGCTATCCCTAAAATACTTTTCAGTAAAACCACATATTTTGGATAAAAAAAAGCTCTGTTAGAAGTGGGACGTTGGTGTTAATGATTCTTATGGGTTCCTTCCAGCTGAGACACTGTACAATTCTACAACTCTTCTCTACCCGCTGCTCTCAAAGGCTGCTGAAGAAGCATATTCATAGCAAATCCGATGCTTACATCAGTATCAACCCACTGCCTGACGTCCATCGGGGCTGCCGTCATGTCGTCCACTTTATAGAGGATGTTGGTGGGCGCCTTCTCCGCGTGCCGGACGATGCCCACAACGGTGACCTGCGGCGGAGGGGGAAGGCTCGCTCGGKCCGGCCGCAGGACGCGGGTCCGCCCCGGCCGCGACCGCCCCGGCGCCCACCTGCGAGATCTCCACGTCGCAGATCCGGAAGGTCTCATCGACCTGCTCCGCCGCCAGCAGCTGCGACACGGTGCAGGGCACGATGTTCTGGGAGCGGCTCCGCTGCAAGGGGCGGCAGAGCCGTCAGAGCCGCCCGCGGCCTCAGCCCCGGGCCCCCTCCCGCGGCCCCCGCCCGGCCTACCTGCTTCTTCTCTCCCTGGGCGCCGGCGGGCGACCCGAACCCGCCCGGGGACTGCATGTAGCCGCCCGGGGGCCCCGCGCCACCCATGCTGCCGTACCCGCCATCGAAATTCCCTAGGGGAGGAGAGAGAGGAACCGTGAGGCGATGGCGCGGCCCTCGTCCCCACCGCTGTCGCCATCACGGGAGCGGCGGCGGCCTCGGGCCCCGTGTCCCCCGCGTCCCCGGGAGGCACCGAGCCCGTCCCGTCCTGTCCCTTCCCGTGCTGTGCCATCCCGTCCCGTGCCGTGCCGTGCCACCCCGAGCGCACCGTGCCCGCTCCACATGGCGCCACTCCGGGCCCTGCCGCCACCCGCCCGCGCGCGCCGACCCTCGCGCGCCGCCGCTTCCCGCCCAATCGAGCAGCGCCGCTCTGCCGGCCGACAGCCAATCACATCCCTCGGTCTATTGGCGCCTTCCAATAGGAGCAGGCCGCCCGGAAGCCGCTGCCGCCATTTTGAGAGAGGGCGCTGCCCGGCCCCGCAGCTATGAGGGGAGGGACCGAGGGGCGGGACCGAGGGGCGGGTTGTGGGACCGAGGGGCGGGTTGTGGGACCGAGGGGCGGGTTATGGGACCGAGGGGCGGGTTATGGGACCGAGGGGCGGGTTATGGCATCGGGCGCGGATTGCGTGGCCGAGTGCAGGCTGTGGGGTCGGGCGCAGTTTGTGGGGTCGGCCGCAGTTTGTGGGATCGGCCGCAGGTTGTGGGGCCGGCCGCAGGTTGTGGGGCCGGCCGCAGGTGAGCCCCGTGCAGGTGGAGCAGCGCAGCGGTGTCTGCCATGCAGTCCGTGGGTCCGTCCGTGCTGCTGCTCTTGCTGTGCCCGCTGGCCGTGGCTCTGCCCCGTGCGGGTGGCGGCCGCGGGCGGTTTTGGCATCTCACAGACCTGCATTGGGACCCCGGGTACGAGGCGGCGGCGGCGGCGGGACGGCCGTGCCCCTCGGGCGGCGATCGGGCCGGACCCGCCGGGCCCTGGGGCAGCTACCTGTGCGATGCTCCCTGGAGCCTGCTGGGCTCGGCCGCCCGGGCCATGCGGGACCGCCTGCCCAAGCCGGACTTCGTGCTCTGGACCGGGTGAGAGGGASCGGGCCCGCCGGGAGGGACTCCAGGGCTGGGCGGGAGAAGGGCAGTGGAGCCCATATGGGGCTCCTGGGGTGTCAGGGCTCTGATCGAGGTACCTGCTTTGAAAAGGAGAGGGGAGGATGTGCGTCCTAATGCAAAACGGGTTTGGAGGAGAGCACAACCCCGGCGAGGGTTCTCGACACTGGCAAGAAGCTYGTGGCAGTGAGGTGACAAAAGGATCAGGGCTCATTGTCCGTCCTTCGCTTGTGCATCCTGTCTGACTGCACAGTGACTGAGTACCTGGAATGCCAGGGAAAGGGGCAGTGGRCTGTGTGTTGGTACATCAGGCTCTGCCGGTCAGAGCAGTGGGAAGAGAGCATTGTAAACCAGGCTTGCAGTGTTTCTTCTGGCTGCGATGAATCACCTGGGAGACCTGTCTCAAGAAAGGGCTGTTTTGTTTTAGGAGTTAGAGGAAACTTCCCAGTGGAGGATGTTCTCTCGTGGAGGATGTTCTCTCCTGGTATGGTCTCCAGAGATGGGCCCCCTGTCCTATGGAAGGTCTCAATAGCAAAAAGAAAAAAAAAAAAAAAAAAAAGGCTTTATTTTGCATGGTGATTGTGTGTATGGTCTTTCTTTTGACAATGCAACCTCAGCTTGCTGTAAGCTCCAGTCCCAGTTTGCAGGGCTGTTTTCTGCACCGTGTTTTCATTTTCTGTCCTGTTCCTGCTCAGATTTAGTTACTGGTCCTTGTGACCTTCTGTTGAGTATTCTTTTTTCCTCAAGCAATTTTCCCCAGTCCTTTGACATGATTTTGAATGTTCTCTCTCTCAGCCCAGCATCATCTACAAATGAGATTCCATGTTAATGCAAACAYAGATGTGGAGCAGCCCTAGGTTGCTGCCCTGCTGGAGGCATTCCCTTGTTTCATGATGATCACAGTGATGCAAACAGCTCTGCTCTTTTCCTGCAGATCAGGTGGTGCTCTGAGATTGCAAAGTGCTGATCCTTGTAATATTTCCAGGCAGCTTTACTGCCTGTGACACACCTTGAGGCAGAGCAGGCCTCCCCTTCACACCATTGTGCACAGGGATTTTAAGGTAGAGTGAATCATAGAATCACAGAATATCCTGAGCTGGAAGGGACCCACAAGGATCATGGAGTCCAACTCCTGGTCCTGTACGACATCCCGACAATCCCACCTTGTGCATCCCTGAGAGYGCTGTCCAGACACTCCTTRATGCTGRCAGGTTTGGAGTGGAGCTYATTTTCCCTATGAGCAATTCCTTGTAACTCCTCAGTGTCTTGGCCAGTCAACAGAACACTGACTTCTGCACCCCAAAGCTTCACCTTTCTCTTCCAGGAGGCACAGAGAGGAGTTGGCACGTTTCTGTGGCTTTCTCATTGCTGCAAGCACAGGCCCTGTTAGTCCCAGACAGTGACTGTGTTGCTTCTCTTTTTCTAGAGATGACACTCCCCATGTCCCCAATGARCAGCTTGGAGAAGAAAAGGTTCTGCACATAATAGCAAATCTGACTTCTCTGATAAAAGAGACATTTCCAGGTAGGATTTGAGGGGATGARAAGGGGAGCGGGGCACAGAGACTCATGGGAAGGGCTAACCAGGGTGGAGAAATGACAGAATTGGGACCAGGAAAAMCACAGAAGGGCTGTGGTCACTGGGACTTATTTGTCCTCTTCCCAGTGGCCTCAATTCTGCTGTGCATTACAGCATTGAAGCACTCTCACATTCCAGGTTTGCTCACTTAGGAGAGAGGAAAATAAAGGTTTCTGTCATTAGTCATTRAGGCAGAAAAAGCTGCAGGATTCCCTCAGACATTGCCCGTGTCAGCAGGGGGCAAGGAGCGTAGTGCTGGTGACAGCTCAGTCACTTGGCTGTGGGCAGCTTGTCCCAAGGGTGGCTCRGARCCRTGTGGTGCCCTTGGCASTGTGGCCCTGAGTGAGAGGGTGACWGGCCTTGGCAAAGCTCTCAGCTCTGCTGCTCCTCTCCAGGCCAGGAGTGCCTTGGGGAGTTTGGAACAGCTCTGCAGCACTGGCCTCCTCTGTGCCTCCTCTGCAGGTACGAAAGTCTACACAGCGATGGGCAATCATGACTTCCACCCCAAGAATCAGTTTCCTGGGAAGGAGCACAGGATCTACAACCAAACAGCGGAACTGTGGCGACCCTGGCTGAGTGAGGCCTCCCTTCCTCTCTTCAGAGCAGGTCTGGCACCACGGCTCATGTTTAGAGCACTCTGGGGATATGAAGAGGGATAGGAGAATACCATGAACAATCTTCCTTGCCTCTGTGCTCAGAGCAACAGTATTCATAGAGGATTTGCAGAGGAAGGGTACAGTTTAATGCTGATTTCTGGCCTGGAGTTCTGCTTGCAAGAGGAGGAATTATACTTTAGTCTCTCCTGCCATCATCAAGTTATTGGAAAGAATGCAGCATGGTGAACTGTAGAGGGAGGAAAAATATCTTTAAAGGTAGTAGCTGGTGCAGGCACAGCTTTGGCTCCAGAGCTGCCCAGCTCCTGGTGCTGCCCATTGTCACTGTACAGGTCTCCCTTCACTGGGAGAGGCACGGGAATGACAAGAGACACATGGGGGAAGAGTCACTCCAAATCCACATCCTGGAGTGGCCAGRGCACTGTTCCAGGCAGTGACCCTGCTGTGGCTATTGCCAAGGAGGGCAGAGAGATATGGAAACAAAGGGATCTGGGGTCACAGCCACCAGTGTGACCAGACTTCCAGCTCTTTTTCCATCGTTGCATTTTTAAGGAGCTTTCTACAGCGAGAAGTTGCCTGGCCCAGGGACGAGGGGGCGGATGGTTGTCCTCAACACCAACCTGTACTATGACCAGAACAATGAGACAGCTGGTGAGGAGGATCCTGGGGGCCAGTTCCAGTGGCTGGAAGAAACACTGACCAATGCCTCTAGAGCAGATGAAATGGTATTAAAAAGACTGAATAAAAAACCTTTGTAGAGGGCTTCTCCCAGCCTGGAAGCTCTTCCTGTGCTCCCACTGGGTCACAGCTGGCTGATGCTGCATGGGCAGTGTGGGCTGTGTGCTCAGAACAACTCTTGCCTCTGCAGGTCTACATTGTGGGCCATGTCCCTCCTGGCTTCTTTGAGAAGACACGGGGCAAGCCCTGGTTCCGGAGGGGCTTCAACGAGCGGTACCTGGGAATTGTKCAGAAGCACCATGGGGTGATTGCTGCTCAGTTCTTCGGGCACCATCACACAGACAGCTTTCGCATGTTCTACAGCGACACAGGTACCTGTTCTGGTCACCCAAGTGCTTGTGTGACAGCTCTGCCAGCTCTCAGAATCATTGTSCATGAGAGTTTTCAGTGGCTGTTGGCTGAAAGCACCTGAGAGGCCAGCAAAGCTTCTGGAATGCTTTGGGCAACAAGAGGCAACAGTGGTTCTCATCTCTGCTCCAGTCTGTAGCTCCTGCTGTCCTTCCCATTCACTCTCAAATGTTGTTTYCCCTTGCCTGATCCCTCTTGAGGGGTTTGGGCACTGCTGAGGGAGCAGTGCTGAATCTCTGTGTGTGTGTGGTGCTCTGGGTRAACACCTTTGCTGAGTGTGGTTCTMTGGCYGCCCTCACTGCAGAAGTCCTTGCCAGCACTGGAAAGTTCATTCCGGCTGCAGCAGCCCCATGCTCAGTCCCCAGTGCTGTCCCATGTGTTAATCTCTGAGTGTGTGAGGTGGTACTGGGAGCTGGTGACAAGGTGCTGTTGGCAGTGCCATTAGCTCAGGGTGCTCACTGTGATGGGGGACAGGGTGTGGGACAAAACAAGGTCTGCAGTCAGAGTTTGCTTTGCATTTCTGTGAAGGTACTCCAATCAATGTCATGTTCCTGGCCCCTGGAGTGACTCCCTGGAAAACAACCTTGCCTGGAGTGAATAATGGAGCCAACAACCCTGGGATTCGGGTGATCGACTATGATCGGGACACCCTTCAGGTCTTGGTAAGGATCTCCATGTGCACCACACTATAGTTCTGGATCAACTTTAATTCCCCTCTGTAGCTGGAACAGGCAGGACCACAGGAGCAGAGTGGCTGTGTGGGAGAGGGCTCTGACCCAGGATAGTTAAGCCTCATGTCTGGCACAGAGATTTAGTCAGTGTTAATGAGTCAAGGCATGGCCCTGGCAGCCAGTGCATCCTGGTGGAATGAGTTTSCCAGGGCAGGGCCAGGCAGTTCTTGTATTCTTGATGTCCTTAGCGAATTTCTTTTGACACGTGCTTTGCTCCCCAGATAACACGCATCACTGAACTACTCTTTGAGTTACAACAGACTTGTAAGACCTTCTCCAAAAACTTTAAACCAATTACTTGTGTCCCTCTACTTGAAGTGATACATTTGGAGTGGATCTGAATTAAGGTGAATTAAGGGGCAGCTTCTGTTTCCCATCTTTTTTTTGCCAAGATGTGGAGGTGTTTGTGCCCTCCTTTGTAGTGGATGAAGCTCTCTATAGCTGCTCTGTTTACATGTTTATAGTACAGAAGTGAATGCTAAAATACACCAAGCAAGGTTGGTGAGAAACAAAAGAAGAGAGAAAAAGGGCAATAGACTGAGAACAGAAGCTGTGAAAAACTTGATTATTCAGTTTGTTCAAAGTTGACAAAATAGCTTTGCTCAGGAAGTAACACTTCTGCTGCTGGATGGTGTTGGTAGTAGCTAACTGAGGTTTGGAGCAGGTAAGCTCAAATGGAGGCCAAAGTCAGGCAGAGCAAAGCCACCTCTTCACCCCTTAGGACACAGGCTCCCTTTGGGATGGATTCTGGAGGCTCTCACCTGAGATGTCCCCAGATGTCCCTCTCTGCAGGAAGCCCTGTCAGGGCAGCTGGGCCCTTGGGGTGGGGGGTGCTGCAGTGGGGCCAAGCCTAGCCTGGCCCAGAGTCTCACTGCAGGGCCAATCTTGTCCTGCTGCCTCCCCACTTCTGTTTTTCTGTCCCTCAGGATATGGTGACTTACTACTTGAACCTTACTCATGCCAACATGATGGCCCTACCATGGGAGGAAGAGTTCCCAGAGTGGGAGGAAGAGTACAGGCTGACAGAAGCCTTCCAGGTCCCTGATGGCTCCGCATGCTCCATGCAGACGGTGCTGGAGAGGATCTCGAGGGAGCCACGTTACTTGCAGCTCTACTATGAGTTTAACTCTGCCAGATATGATCTGGCTCCATGCAAGCAGGAATGCCGTGTGGATCACCTGTGTGCCATCAGGGAAGTGGATTTTACGAAGTATGATGAGTGTGTGAAAACCAACAGCTCTGCCTTTGCTGCMAGCAGTGTTTGGCTTTTGGTTTTCTGCGTGTTCTTAGGATTTCTCAGTCCTCAATGAGTGGTGTGATGGCCAAGAGCAAGAGAAAAGGATACACGAGATCATGCTACACTGCATGTGAATTGGTGATTTTGTCATTGAGAACTTGCTTGGAAACCAGAACAAAATTGTCAGTATGTTTACTAAAGGCTCTGTGATGCTGATTTGAAATTTTCTAGACAACTTGATGTGTGAAGGGCAATATTTGTGAGAGTGTTGTTGTGCCAAACTGACTTCAACGAGGAGTCTGCCTCCCAGCTGCTGGGGCAACCTCACAAATGAGATGAAGACCAGGCCTCCCTGTGGACATGAACTGGAAACGGGTGAGGGGAGGGAGCTGCCACATGTTCCAGAGGCTGCTGTCAGCATTCCTTACATTGGCACACACTTCTGCAAGTTTGCACAGCAGGTGACTCAAGAAGTCTTGTTGTGGTGGCCTGTTCCACAACAGCCTGTGGCTTATGAGCAAAGCCAGGTGGGGCGGCAGTGTCTGGACTTCAGCAGCCTTTGTTGTTTCAGAGCTGAAGATGAGGTACTGATGATTATTTTCCCCTCAGCTGCTGAGCACAAATAGCTCTCTTCTCTCTCTTCTGTGCTCTCTTCACCCACCTCCACTGAGTTCCCTCCCTCATGTGGCCTTGGCAGCTGACCTGGCTGGTGATTTACAGCCTTGGGTTTGCCAGCTGCTCTGAGACCYGGAGGGAAGCAGTGCACAGTGTGGTACTGCACTGCAGGTACGGCTGGATGGGTGCAGGATGAGTGCTCTGTGTTGTGTGAAGGTGGCTTTGTGCTCTCTCGGGGGTCTGGCAGGGGGAGGGGTTGTGCTTTTGCTGCCGGTGTTGTTATTTGCCCCGGAGCTGCCTCAGAGCGTGTGCCGGGCAATGCTGCGGGTGCTCCAACACACGGTTAAGGACCGGGAGCGGCCGTGGGGCTGTCGGCGCGGGCTCTGACATTGTGGTACCTCACTGCCCATGGGCACACAGCCCACTCCTCTCCTGGGCTGCAGGGCTCGCAGCCCCCACCCCTGCCCCTCCAGCTCTCTGTCCTAGTGGTCTTCTCTCAGGGTTAGTTTCAAGCACTAATTGTGATACTGGAATGTCAGGTACCTCCTACTGCTTTAGAGTTTATGKGACCTTTGGGAAAGGGTCACKTAACTGCAACCCAAACKCYRCGGTTGTTGATCYTGAACTCACTCCAGTCTCTTACTTYCCACTSTCTCTCTCCAGTATTCCCTCTCCCACACCAAGCAGGTAAGGCCCAGTGACACCACACAGCTCCTCTGGGCTGAGAAGCTACACCTGGTGTTGAGAAGTGAAAGGAGAAACATTGCTCCCCTTTTTATCTACCACTGCTAGATTGAGAGTTTTGAGATCAAACAATGTGCAGATGATCTGACTGTATTTATCTGCTTTTGAAAAAACACATTGTAAACAGCAATTGAACCCTGAAAAAACACATTGTAAACAGCAATTGACCTCTGAACCCAGGAGCAGCCATTGCACAACCTCAGGTCCTTGGCTTGGCCCAAACTATGTCTCACAGTCCTGTGGTCTCTCCAGATGCCACTCTGGTTTCAAAGCTCTGGGTGTAATTGCACAGGCGCACACTTTACCTGGCCCCTCACCTGATCTGCACTGGAAGCTATTCTGCTCTCCTGAAGGGCCCCAGGGAGATCTCAGCTCCTCCCCAATAAGTCCTGCTTTCAGGTCTTACCAGCTCAGGTTCTGATGTGTTGGTACCTCACTGTCCATGGGGTACCTCACATCAAGCTCTTGGGCTGCCCGCTGGMTGATGCACCTTTGTATTTCCAAACCAGGGAGGAGGGGTTAGAGTGGTAATCCAGGGAATTYTGCAAGGACAGATGTTTCTGGAAACTACTACCATCTTCATAGCTCATTGATTCAGCTGCAAACTAGTGTACACTTTGTTTCCATCTCTGCATTCACAGAGGGCTTCATATTATTCTGCAAGTTTCCTCCCTTTGAATCCTTAATACAGGAGATAAACACACCCAAACTGACAAATCACGAAGTGAACACCTTCACCTCTTCCAGATGTTTCTGCCTGCAGCAGGTGAGCAGCTGGCACATGAACTGTGAACTTCAGCCTTCTGCTGACACTGCAGTGCCAAGKGTGCCTGTCCCAGCTGCTGCTGCATTGGGAAAAACTTACATATAGCCTAAATATTACTGAATTCAGCAAATTTGGGGAGTTCCTCTCAACCCTACACTGCAGGCACTGTAGTTACCTGTAACCAATTTGTCACTGCAGCTCTCCTCAGTGAGCCCAGGGCAGGCTGCAGACCTAACTGAGGGATGCTGCCCTCAGCCTGCCCAAGAYCACTGTCAGAGGCACAGGCTGGGCAATGGGAGCAGCACAGCTGGGCTCTGGAGTACAACTTACACAGATGATTATGACTGAACCAGATAAAGCTTGACTCGGGAAACAGATGCAACCACTGTTCAAAATCCACCATTAAGTGTCACTTGTGTGCCAAAGTGCAGCACAAGGCAGCAGAGCAGGTCACAAGCAAGGCAGCTGGGACAGCTTTARGAGCTGCAGCCTGAGGCTGCCCAAGGACAAGGCCTGCAGGGAGAAGGGCACTTTGCCATGGCAGAATCCTCCCATAAGCCACAGAACAATGGACAATCTCAGCTGTACCACTGGAGACTGGAACAAACACACTACACTCTCCAACCTGGCAAAATCTGCATTTAATTTACAACATAGTAAAGGTTACAGGTAAAAAGCTCAACAGAAGTGTGAAAAGGCCTATTACATATTACACAAGTGTACAAATGTCTGTACAAAGCCCCTCGATGTTCCTGTTCCCTCCTGGCCAGCACGGCCCCTAAGCTCTGAAATAATAAGAGCTGGTTCAGAGCCAGGGAGGAGAAGAGCTTTAAAAAACGAGCAGTGAAGCTTCCCTTGTCAAGAAAAATCTTGCAAAGAGCCACTTGCAGAAAAAACCAACCCCAAACCCAACCCCCCTCCCCCCAAAATAAAACAAAAAACCCTAAAACAAAACAGAAAAAGAAGAAAACCTGCTCAACTTTTGTTTGTCCTGACTAGTCTTACCCTAAAGAGTTGCCTTCAGAGAGCAACTGGCTGGGAAATGAAAATCCTACAGGCCAGACTATAGAGAGAGATTTTGAGTCATTGTGGGAGCACTGGGAAGCAGAACAAACGCCCAACGTCTGAATCATCAATGGCAACTTAAACACAGAGCAATGCAGCTGGATCATGGAGCAGGTGCTGAATCCACACATGGAATAGTCTGAGCTGGATGTGATGGTGTGGAGAGGAAATAAAGCAGTCTCTAAAGCCAAGGCTCTTGTGAGCTGGGCAGCTGCCAGCTCAGTTTTACCTCAAGGACATGATTGAAGCAATCACTGCAGAGCAGAACTAACAGAGATTTTGGAGCATCTGTCTAAAAAGGGGTCTGGTGCATCCAGCACCCCAGCTCACTGGAACACAGCACTGATCCAGCACCATCCAGCACCCCAGCTCACTGGAACACAGCACTGATTGAGCACCATCCAGCACCCCAGCTCACTGGAACACAGCACTGATGCAGCACCCCAGCTCACTGGAACACAGCCCTGGCCTAGCAACCTGGCACTACTTCTCCAAGGCAGCTGCAGTCCTGAACACAGTGAACAGCCAGGTACATGCCCTCATTTTAGTGCACATTTCCTGGATCCCCCAAACAACAAAGGAATGTGGCTCGTGGCTGAACTGCATTAGAGAGTGTACAAAATTCCAGAGTCATTGTAAGAGTAACAGAGCTCTGGCCCTACCTTGGGTAAAGTACAGCCAGTGTCTGAATATGTGAATAATTTTCAAATCTAAACCCAGGAACTGAAGAACTTGAGCAACAACCATCTACCAAGAATTAATATTCTGGTTCTCAGCAGCATTCAATTCTCACCTGCTGTTCCCAGCAGCCAAAATATTTGTGTGTAGGGAAACACGCCAGTCCTCCCAGTTTTGTGTCTTGTTCAATCTCATATACTTGGAGCTTACAAGTTCCATTTGCAAATAAWAATGAAACTATTTAAGGTACAGGTGCCACCACGTCTGAAAGAAACTTCACTGTRTTAACTTCACCCCGAGTTATCCAGGGGAGTCACCACGGCACAGTGCAGACAGTGCCTGTCCCTGTCAGATGCTCTGACCCTTCACCTGTGCACCCTGTATCCATCCCACAGACCCCATCCTGCAGCACTGAACAAAGCTAAGGAACCCACCTATTGCTTATCCATCTCAGCTCATGACTCATGGGATGCTCTAGTGTTTTACATGGAAATTAAAACAAGCGGTAGCCAAACTTAAAAAAATAATAGAGGATGCCCCACATTGGTGGGGCTTTGAAAATATAAAAAATAAAAGCTGACCTATATTCCACAAGTTTTACAACTCCTACTAATGGGATTCTGCAAGGCTTGGACCCACAAACATTTCCTCCTAACAGAGCTGCTCTGCTGCGAGCACGTCCAGCAGCCATCACAGTTAGCCCAGCACTGACATACACAGACCTGCAGGGTCATGCCATAAGTGATAATTAAATTGTGTGACTGCCCCTTTGACTTGTGGATCCAAGCCCACACAAAGACCTCTGGGACACTGGTGGCTAAGAAAAGGCTGTAGGGGTTTTGGTTCAAAAGGAGATGGGAGCTGTATTGTTTCGTTTTTTAACAGACATATAAAAACATTTGAAGACAGATCTTTAAAGGATATTTCACTTCTCCAATCTTGGTATTACATCTGTTAGGACACTGAAATTTTAAAAAGATGATACCACACATGAAAAGTTTCTGGAGTTGTTAACTCCCATCCTCCCTAAGCCCAGCTCAGATCAGCAGGGACGGGGTCGGCTTCTTGCCCGGCCAGGCTTCCTTGGCGTATTTCTTCTTCTTGGGTTCATTCACAGCTTCAGGGTTGAAGACAGCGGGGTTTGGAGCTGGGTTCATGTTCACTGTGGAGGGCACAACTGGAGTCAAGTCCACATCAGGGGCGAGGTTGGGGTAGGGCATGGGCAGCCCCCCGATGAGCGCGGTCCCATGGACRCCGTGTGACTGCGACCCCGCCTCGTTGTGGGTGGGGGGCAGCCCCCCGTACAATCCTCCGCTGTAGGGGAAGCTCTGCATGCGCCGCGACGTGGAGTCATCTGTGGTCAGCGAGCCTGCGTTCTCCAGGCGCTTCTTCTGCAGATGGAAGTGGTTAAGAATTATTCACACTGCATGAAACCAGTGCCAAGGCCATYTCACCCAAAAGACACCTCAATTTGCCACATCCAGAATGCTTAGAGACCATGTCCCAGTCTTTGTCCTACAAGGTTTTTCCTGGGTTCCCTTGAAAGCCACAATAATAAACTCTTAGAAGTGAACAGTGCAGGAAGATGACAAAAGCTGATACTCAGGTGTTAACCTAGATGAAGTCTGAGCACTTCACCTCCTGTACACTCCTGCCAGTCTTAAGTTTATCCTGAACAAAGACTGAGTGGGTCATATAATGTCCTGGGTTGAAAGGGACCCACCAGGCTCATCGAGTCYAACTCCTGGCCCTGCAMAGCACACCCCAAGAATTCCAYCCTGTGCCTGTTTGTTGTAACACAAACCTTCCCTCCCCCACAGAAAGAAACCACAACTTCAAGATCACTTGTGTAATTTTGCTCCTGATCATTGGAATCTTCTCTTGCAATCTGGGTTTATGGACTATTATCCTTCTACACRTGATGTTATTTAGTCTATAACAGCAATAAGTGAAATTGCTGTTATACAGTGGCATAGCTGCTCTGATGTTCTGCAGATCTTCCCTCCTCCTTGCATATTCCAATTAAATAGAACACTGGCAACACATTCATCTTGGAACAAAACCAAAACCTGCTTGTTCTACTACACAAATTTATGAAACCTTCAACACAGTATTTAAATGAACAAACTCTCATTTTTCCCTTCCATTTTCCACATTTCCCACAATTTTATCTGATGACTGGAACTAATGAACTGAATTTCTAGAAAGTATTTCTTCTAGGGAGGAAAAAATATCACCACTGATCCCATGTGTTATTAAAAAAAAGAGCTAAAGCTGGGTTCAAAGGGAAATGGTCAAATTTGGTAAAAAATTGCAAAAACATGGACATGCCTTCGCTTAACAAWGAAACACTTTCCATCTGGGAGCATTCTGTTTGTAAGGTACAATTCATAAATCATAAAGTGAGTTCATCAATGTCATGTGCTAATGAGAAAGTTGGGAGTCAGCCCATACCTTCACAGGGACCACTGCTGTCTGTACCATGTTCCGGAACCGCCCCACAGACGGGTCCACGTCCTCTGCAAAGCAACAACAGTGATGCCTTCAGTGAGCACATGGGAAAASCAGAACCTCTGTGGGCTAAAGGAAYCTGTATGAAAAACTGGAACCTTCTTCTCCCAAAGCCAGCACTCCAGCAGCTCMCAGTAAGCACAAATGTGGCCAGATAAAGACAGGGACTTGGGGGACACTYTCCCTTGTCTCCAGATGGCTCATCATGCACCCCAAATGCTTCCCCTCAAATGGAGAATGGGAAAGGGAACAGCTGGATGGGCAGGTAGGGATCAGACTGGCTGGAGTTTGGACTGAAAGMTGCTGCTGACAAGGCACTGCATGTGCTAAAGGCACAGCAGCCAGACCYCAAAGTCCTTGGGGAGCCTTGAAGGAGTCAGAGGCAGTCAGTGTGAGTCTCTYGAAGTCTGGAAAAATTATCTGGTTTTCTGCAATGAGAATGACTGTGTTTGCATTAKGGCATTAGGATGTTCTGAGCACTGAAATGCATCCCATTATAAACCAGAATGGTCACTCTGGGCACCAAAGGAACCACCTCCACACTGTATTTCAAAATGCCTGCTCATTAATTAACTACTCTTATTAACAAGAATATTTTCCATATAAAGTATGATTGATAAGCATGCCATTAATAAAGAACAGCTAAAGGAGAAAARAAGACTAATTTGGAACTGAATACATCTTCAAATGCATCAGTTTGAATGAGGATTGAGGATGACTTGGTTCAGATGTGCAAAAAAGTAGCAAAAACCATCTGAGCTTGAGACATCCCAGTATGGAAAGCATTAAAACAGACGAAAAGCAAAGAAGTTCTATTCCCACTGAGATTCTAAAAGGGCAAAAAATGTAAACCACCTTCCTCCTTTTGGACCCATGACATGTCTCCAGTATCTGACAGAGTACTGAACAATGAAGCCAAGTGTGATATCCCCATCCTGTTCAGAGCATGCCGTTGCTTTACAGGTAGAACAGAAGAAACAGAAAGTGGTCACAGACTTCAGTGAGACATGGTGGCAGCTTCTGTGAAATGGCAGATCCCAAATATTGACTGCCAAACTTCTGTTCTCCTTATCCATCCACAGCCATGAGGACTCCCTACAAGAATAMTGGAAGGAGGTCCTGAAGGGCTTCAGCTGAGGAATAAAGAAAGCTCCTTACCCGGATTGATGATCTCATCATCATCACTGAACGTCACTCTGGAGTTCTTTCGTTTTCGCTTTGGCCTCTGGATGTCCAAGTTCCCTTCCTCAATGGTCAGTGTGGAGATCCTTTTGTTGTGGGCTGTATTAAACTCTGTCAGATTCTAATAGCAAATTTAGAGATGAAAGAGTTTCAGCAAATAATGTATATGAAGTCTGATTTGATCACAAGATTGTGCACATCAGAAAACCACAGGATAYTGTTTAGTTTCAGCTTCAGACCCTGAGGAACAAGCAGAGGTTCAGGGCTGCAATGAGCTGCCCTGAGAGGCTGCAGTTTCTCTGCAGAGATATTTAGAATGGAGCACAATCCTGCGCAGCCTACTCCAGGTAGCCCTACTTGAGCTGGTTGATGATTCTGAGAGGTCCTTTCCCACAACTACAATCTGTGAATGCCAGACACCACTCCTCCCTCTTCATTAGCTAACTTAGGGAAAAGGGCAGCAACTCACAGGTAACTGGCAATGGGAACAGTGTGGGAAAGCACCCCTGAACTGGGGCAATGTTAGCTGGAGAGCATGTCCCTGGGAAATTTTGATAAGATGACCACTGGCATAGTAAGATTATTAGGTCCATGATTCTAGCAAGCAGCATGATCACAGGTTAATCATTGCAGATGAGATGGTCTGGGTGTATMTGACAGCCAAAGACACCTCAGACTATCTTCAAAGCCAAGAAATCARGAACCTGAACCTAAGGAAGTATTAGCCAGGGWAGTTGTTCRGTCACTATTCCTGGTGGCATTTWAAAGACATTTAGAYGTGGCACTTAAGAWTGTTTTAGGGTCTTTTTGGCCCATGTGACAGATTAAAATGTGCCTAAACAACTGGCAAACACAGTGGGTGCTTTGCTGATACTGTGAGGTGGGATAGTGCTTTTTATCAGGGCAATATCCTTCCTTTCACACCTGGCTCCGTTGTAAAACTACACATCCCAGCCCTCTAACCCCTCCTCCATTGGGGAAGGTACTGGGCCATTCTCATTCTGACCTACAGCTGAAGGTTTTTTCCCTCTGATGGGGCATAACCAGCTCAACTGCRCTGACATGAGAGGCAGGGTCATKCTTKGAAAGGTCATAAACCATCAAAGACWCCCAAGRTRYCCCCAGACTMATTTCTGGGCCTTCCACCAGAGGACTGCAAGMGATTCACAGTCTTGCAACATACAGTGTAAAACTTGCCCTGCCCAGGGGAGGTACCTGGGWGTCCACCTAAAGCCATTAAACTCTRTTYTGAGGGCTTCCCTCATCCCCAAGGATCAAGACTGCAACCATCACTTCAACCAGTGGAYATCAAGTCTTGTTGCTGGACCCATGGGTGGTGAGATCTTTCTGCTCGTATCCTTTCTCTTTGTTACACATTTTCTTAAGTGTTATTTTTATACTTTTCTATAATAATTAATTATAACCAAAACAGCTRCATACCTCCTTTCCATTGCAACCACCTGGTTCTAAAATAAACCCTACATATATATATACTTATAAACATTTATTCAGTGTTTTTGCACTCCACTCTGCTCCCAGGGATCTATAAGCAAGAATCTGAGTTAAACTCATCTTCAGGGATGGGTCATAACAGGACAGTGTTAAATTTATGGATTTGATGATATTAAAGGTCTTTTCCAACCTAAATGGTATATTCCTAAATGGTATTTTCAACCCATATGATTCCATGTCTCTATGCAAATGAGCAGGGAATGCTGTCCTAGCTGGAAATGCCACTGAGGCAGTGCCATCATACTCACGTCCAGTTCTGTCTCCTCCTCTGGCAGCCCCAGCAAACCCTTGAGCTCCTCATCCTCACCACCCATCTTCTCATCCCCTTTCACCGCTGAGGGCAGCGTCTGYGGCTTCTCTCGCAGAGTGTATGCACGGGTGGAGGCTCCAAATGAAACCGTGGAGTCAATGGGGATCTGCTGGGGTTTGTGAGCTTCCAAACGGATATGACCCAAGAATGTGCCATGTGCTGAGGACATCAAAATACAAAACAGTTTGTTGAGCTTGGGATTAAGGTATTCCAGTTCAAGCCTGAGAATTTCAGAAACTGTAACARTTGTTCCAAGGTACAAGGCACTGAGGTACTGCTGAAAGCATCAGCTATGTAGACCCACCATCTTGAAAACTCACATAACACACATCAGTAGTCCTCCAACAGTCATGGAAATAAATTACAAACACCCTCTACTTTTCTGTATTCCTGCAGGTTCTAATGTACTATGTCTGGACAGTAAAAAATCACCTGACAGGTTTCAGACCTTGGGAAATCACCCTCAGCAGAAAAGGCTTCACTAAAATTGGGATGGGAAGGCCAAGTCACTTTCCTCCTCTCCTTTGGCCTCTAATGAGTTAAAAATGTTTGAAACACATAGTGAGGCAGCTGTAGGCTGACTGAAGCAAATGCTCCTTTGCCCTATGCCGTCTATCTTTCCCTATGATGCAAATTCCAATTTGTCACGTCTGTCACAGTGTGGACAACAATGGAAAAGGAAAAAGTGTCTCAGATTCAGATGTTTAAGCTGTGAAGTATTGCTCTTCTGTCTGGTTAAATGCCACACTACTTACTGCTGTTCAGATCTATGAGGAAAACCCTCTTGAGATGTTTGTGATAGACCAAGGCAGCATGGACCCGAGAGCAAGACTGGTGGTCAATGGTAAAATCGCACAGATCAGGATTTCTCCCAAAGAGATAGTATTTCTTCTCATCAATGATAAGTTTCTGAGGTAGAATATCAAACAGAGAAGCATATTAGACTCCTAGAACCTTTTGGATCTTCCTGAAAAAAATTCAAGAACATGAATAAATAGAGCAAATTCAAAACAAAGCATCAACAGCTCATCAATATTTCAGTTTAGTCTGGCACTGTTAAATACAGAAACTCAAATCTGCTCTTTGTAAAATCAGAACAGCTGAATATGGGAGAGTCACAGTTATTCCCTTCCCCCTCCCAGCCAACACTGAACAGTCTGGGAAGGACAGYCACTCTTCAAAGCATTAGACTGCCTCATAGAAGATATCTTTGACATCTGCTCCCAGAGATTTTAACACATTCCTTGATCAATGATCTCAGGCCTTGTCTAAGGTAAGAATCCATGCTCAGTGATCTCTGGTCTGATAAAGGACATCAAAAGTATACTTTTGTACAAAAATTGACCTATAGGAGATTTCAGACCTCTGGTATAAAGATGCAAAACAATACTGAGTATGGTGTGATCTGAATCCATATTAGTCTATTCAAGTAAACCATTAATTTCAGGCATTTCTGCTTTTTTCATCCTAGTTCTAATCTCTTCTTTAGAAAAGGTCGTACAAACCTTAGTATCAGTTACATAAAACATCTCTGTAAAGTGAGGGACATGTTGACAAAGTCCTACAGTATTTCTGTTACCAGACCATGTTGYTGAAGGAACTTCTTACACCTGACTGCTGCAGTACCTGAGCAGGGCATGTGCAGAACCTTCTCAGTGGGTCCCAAGAACCTCGTCTAATCTGTACTCTCCTGCTCCAGCTGCACAAGGCTAAGGCTGGCAGTGCATTACACATCTCTTAAGAGGCTTCTCCTGCTTTTTGAAACATTCAAAGCCCATGTTTCAATAGCATCATCCAGGGAATGCTAAAGATACATTTTCCACTGAAAAAAAMCCCGATCTTGGTTCAGGAGAGCACTGCTTCCATGAGATAGTCTCATATGAACAAACATTTTGCCTGCTTGAGCACCTGGATTTCTCCCTCTGCCTCCTTGCATTCCCAGCTATTCAGTCCTCAATCCCACTGTCATGCATCTGAGCAAAGGTTTTGCCCTTCAAAGCCTTTTTTTTCCTGCGTTAATCTTCCCCCATTTGAATGGGCTGGATCAGTTTTCTTTTGGTCAGACACATGTCCCAGCTGCTCCAGGGAAGCACCGGATCCCAGGCACTGGGTGGGTGATGCTGACAATCTCCCTCTCTGGCACAGCATTCCAGCCAAGCAGATGTTTGTCCTCACTYTGCCAGGTACAAACTACCTGCTCAGTTACAACCAGCCAGTGTGTGACAGGTCCAGGGGCTGGGCTGAGGTTTTCTGAGCTGTCAGATGACACAATGAGCACCCACACTGTGACTCGTTCTGGGGGACCACCAAGTCATACACAAAATAAGGAGACAGCTTGGAACAAGAAGCAGTGTTCATACTCCTCTGCCTTATCCACAAGGACAAAAATCCCATTGTGAACCTCAGTTGCTACTACAGATCATCTTGCAAATCCCATCTCTTTACCTGCCTATCAACTATGAACTCCAAGGCTTTAGCACTCCTAAAGTCACATATCACTTCCCCACCTTTTTTTTTTTCCCTGATTTTTCCCCCACACATGTGGTCTGTATTTTCCAGGTTGGATTTTCCAACATTCTGTTGAATAGCTGTCAGCCCCCATGTTGCAAGTTCGCATCATCTAGTATTCAGTTACAAGCATTTAATTTATTTCTGCATGTTTAGAAGAATTAATTGAACAACCTGACTCCACACTTGTATACATCTGTATAACAATTTTACAACTGATTGGTCCTTTAGATAATACTCTGTTAAATGTCTTATTCCCCACCAACTCAAGGCATACAATTTRAACACCAATTGATGACAGTGAYTGCTTTGTGAAATCTACTGACTCAYATATTTTGGCCTGCCTTCTTAAAAGAAGAGGATTTAGGTGATAAAGGTGTGTGTATTTACCAGCTCTGACACTCACTACTAAACCAAAAAACTTTTAAACCTCTGGCCAGTTTCAACCAGTGCTGTAGGTTTATTAAATTTCAAGYGATTCTATGAAAACAGAAAACTAAATAGAATGATAACTTCATCAATCCCTTCASTGATACACAGGCTGGCAGAAAATCCAAAAGAATGCCAATACTTAGACTTCAACCACAAAGTATGGTTTGGTATGGCAGCAGTGACAATTGGGAATTCACCTACAAGGATATGGTCTACTGACAAATGAAGTGCAAATGCAAAATGCAAGTGATTTTTCTGCAACAGGGAGACATAAAACATGCAAGTGTGTCCCATGAATCGGTTTGTCTGGTGCAGAGCAATGCATCTCAAAGTATATTCAGATTAAAACCATGAGAAATTACTATATTGAGTTTATTGGGTTCTGCTCTCACTTGGCCACTTGATCATCACTTTTTGTCTCTTCACAAATGCTGGTTTTCACAAGACCCCTCAAGATAACCAGAAAGTATAAGCCACAGATGAAGAGCTTAAACTAGTATGTGGTCTCCTCAATCCTTTCTGATTGAATTTTATTTCATTTTTTTTTATTCCACCTGTAAACAGACCCTTCCACTTCCTCCCTATATGCTCCACACATCACTGTGCCTTTGTGAAGCTTTTCCCTGCATTTCTTAACCATCACTACACAAGTCTTTCTGATATTTTCCCTTAAGATTAGAGTTGTTTCATCCAGCTGTTGATGCAACAACACCGTAACTGTTACATCAYATCTTTTGAGGAACCCTGGTTAGGTTTTCTGGGGATTCAACTTTCCAGCACTGGATTTATATCCCGCATTCTGCAGTTCCTTACTCATTTAGTTTAGYACTCTGACTCTTCCCACACTCAACACCTTTGCACTTGTTAATTCTATGATTCCACACTGTAAAGAAAATGAGTATTACCTTTCCTTTTATTGCAAATTTGAAAGTAAGTCCTGTATAAACACAGCTCTGATAACAACAAGTGKAAGATGATTTATTCCTTCACAAACAGCGCTCAGCTCCACAAGTAGTTACCTCACAATTTCAATTACCATAAAAATTGATCAAGTAATTTCTCATTCTTGCCCACAACTGAAACCAAAAGCATCCTGTAAGTTTTCCTTTGTGCCTGTTACACACAAACAATACTGCCCTGACTGGACAGCACTTTTAAGACATTTTGCAAAGACACAAATTCATGGAAATATTGTAGCAAATCACCAACAGAGAAAATAATTTTATTGTGTTTAATTCAAGGTAACGTTTCCAAAATGTTCTGTGCCTCTGAGCTATAACCCAGTGTCTTCCTTCACACACTGAGCTTAAACACTGCATGGCTTGTTTTGCTGTTGCACTTTGCAGACCCAGCAATCACAGGGTGACCCTCAGACCTCTGCACGAGGCTGAGACACCGATGGCTCGGTTAGTATCAAGTGCTTAGTAACCCACAGGATTCAACAATGGTCTTCATTACTGATGGCTACCAGGAAAGAAAAACTGAAAAGCTCTCTGCCATCTGTATGGAACAGGGAAACACAAGGATCACATACAGGTGTACAGCTGCCATGCACACACACAGGACCTTGTTTCAYGTACCCACCACAGGCGAGGGGATTAAAGCCATCACCAGTACACTGTGCAAGGCCACAATGCAGCTCTGCAGGCAGGTGAGTGTGCTCCAAGGAACAGCCTGACAGAACTGCCTCTCAGCCCAAGAGTAGCAGCAGCCAGGCCTTTGTGGCACACACTGGTCCTGTGCTGGGCCAGCATCACCCACTGAGGGCATGGGAGCTGTGCCACACYGAGCCAACAGCAGCAGGTGGAACACAGCCCCACAGGCACTCCCCAATCTCTGTGTGATCCCATCCTCCACTGAATCTCCCACGCAGCAGAGTGGCTACAGCTGCTGATGGTGTTCAGTGCTCTGCGTGGCAGCAAAGAGAAGCTTTTTAGGTTATCAAGAGCTGATATTCAAAAGAGGGAATTGGGATGCTTGTACCAYCCCCACCTTTCCAGAACAGAGACACCAGGCTCACAGAGCTAGCTTGGGCAGCAAAGCCTCAGAGTCTGAAAGCACCAGGACAATGGTCCTGGGCTGTCAATTTAAAAGCACATTTTCTCATCCATTGCCAAAAACAATGGTGCATCCTCAGCTTCCATATGGCATTTTTCTTTTTTTTCCAGTCCTGACCAGGACTCCCATGATGGACATTCACCTGGCACCTGAGGAGCAATTCAGCAATTCACTGAACTCTTCATCCTAAAGCTCCGTCCACGCTCAAAAATCCAAAAGAAACATGACATGCAAAACCCCACAGAATCAATCCCCCATGTAGGAAAGCTGCATTTTGCTTAGCCACCTGCCACACACCAAAAACCCCAAAGTCACGGCCATGTATCTTTGATCCCTAAATCTCATTCACGGCCTGAAAGAAATATTGGAAAACTCAGTGCCAAGTGCATCCCTACCCCAGGTGCTGCTGCCAGGATGGCACTGAGAAGGTTGAGTTCAGAAACAATCCTACTGCAGGTCTCTGAGCTCAGAACATGATTCTGAACATCTAACAGTAGCAGGGGAGGCAGAATTCAGCAGCTGTTGAAGACAAACAGGGGTGCAAAGGGTTCCAGAAGCGCTGGGAAGTGGCGATGGGGGAGTGTCCTGAGTGTCTGTGCTGGCATGGATCAAATCAGCCACGCCTGGCATGAGCTGAATTGCTGCTCTGAAGACACAATGCCTGTGTGCCCTAACTCCTTTCCAATTAAGGCTGACCACAGATCTCTAAGGTCAAGACCAGCTTTGCCAATTTTCTATCTTTAAATCCAGAGTAAGTGTACTCTCTTAAAAAAAAGCAATGGGCTATAAAGAAAAGCTGCATGTATAAAGAAAAACCTCATTTGTGGCCTGAAAAAACACAAGTTTATTTGTGAGACACCTATTTGTGACATCTCTATCTGCTTCCTATCCACTACAAATATACCACTAACTTAACCAAACTCCAAATAGTAAATCTCTCCTGCTAGACACCAGAAGGAATACTTAATACTGTTACATGTGGTAGCATACACTAAATACCAGCCAAGATCTTAAGCTGTCTAGATCTTGATACAACACTGATTTCCTAATTTTCCAATTTTTTTTGTTCAGAAAACTTGGCTCAGCTTTGCAAAGCTTTGCCCAGAAACGTTTTTCTGTTTCAGTCACCTTCAAGTTAGGAGTCTCTCCACAGCTGAATTCACTGGTTTGGGTTTTCTCTGTCAACCATGCTAAAGAGACTTTATATATTACTTTCAGTGTGATGTAAGACAAAATATGAAAYAGAGAATGAGGTGGTGCTGTAATAAAAATAACTTGCTGTATCTGTGCTGATCACAACACTGTTCACAGATCCTSAATGTGGGAGGAAAAATCAAACTGTATTGCATACTGCAGGACAGAGCAGCACTCTTACAAAATACAGGACACCTGGTTAATCTGACTGTAATGCAAAATAAAAAATGAACTGACCAGACAGGTTTCTCAAACAAGTGGTACAAAGGGAAGRGGTTTAACTGATGGAAGCACTGCATGGTATGAAGCTGACCTAAAGCATGGGCAAGGGAAAAATCACTGCATTCATTGTTTCAGAGCAAAACAAACTGATTTGAAGATAATGAATACATGAGAGAAAGGAAATTCTTATGACTAAGTGTGGAAAATGCTGGGGAATGTTCTACTGCTGGTGCCTATGTACATGATAAACCAAGCTCATCAAACTCTACTGCCATACCTCAATGAGTTTGTCTCCTTTGACTACATCCAGGTGTAAGCCAGGTGGTGGTTTCCCTGCCCTGGAAAATAAAGAAAGGAAAAATACAATATCAAAACATGTACTAAAAAAATTTGTTAGTGTTAGAGCTGCTCAAGCTACAGACCAAACCTACACAAATGTAAGCAGAAGTATTTTGGGGGAAATATGAAGATCCCATAATTTTCTTTTGCCCCCTGCAGATTCCTTCTGACAATACATAAACTAAGACTTTTTATAGTAAGAGTGAAGGTAAAGGACATGAAGCATCTCAAGCTTTAMCTCTCCAGATAAAAACCAGCTGATTTACACAACAAACAGAGCAGCCCCTGAGAGAACATGGTATGAGGCAGGAAGAGACCAACAACTAGAGACAGGCTGGGACTGTTTGCTCAAGGGCTCTGTTTTCTCATGTGACCCTMAAAACAGCACATCTCTACCCCTGGCTGCTGAGGGAAACAGAAACTTCTACCACCCTTCCCCTCTAGGCTGGTAATGGCAAAAATCTCAAACAGGCTCTGTACACACCTGTAATTCTATAAAAGTGCTGGTCAATAGCCAGTGTTTCTCCACACTTAGCTATGCTCACACTTCCTTGCCAACACAGGTAACACAGTCCTAGAGGGGCCTCTGCCTTTTGGCAGCACTATCCTCCCTCACCACATTGCACACAAAACAGTTCCTGCAGCCCTACTGCTCCTGCTCAGCTCCTGTGTGACAAACTGTCAGCAGTTATTCTCACCTGGGCGAAGAGAACACAGAGACCCGAGGGACTCTGCAGTGCACAGCCAGCACATGGTGAACCCATGGGGATTAGCAGAAACATACTGGSCATGGGCATTTACAGTGCTCAAACCCAGGAAGSTGCTGTGGTACCAATACCCTGCCCYGCACCACACYGGATCCTTTGGCTCTTGGCAGCAAAGGATCTTTTYCTGCTCAGGTATCTCAGAATCTGCATCTCTAGTACTCCTCATGGATAACATCTCTGCTGCTCGTCTCTAAGGCTGGASCAGCTTTCTAGGCAGCAGCAGTGACCTAGTTCTGGCTGCACTGCTGCCTTGCTGAGGAACTCCACAGAGATCATGTTCTCATTCTGATCAGTGCATGGAGCCAGCCCAGGGAACACTGACAATGGGCAGCAATGCTCTAAGGGTGGCTGCAGAAGAAAGAAAGGTCACTGGTAGCTTAAGTTGTTTTGAAGGGGTTCAATATAGATGTTCATGTTTCTGAGATGTGCTTTACTTTTGATGGATCCTTCTGTGTTGCCAGGTCAGCTCCCCTCAATAACTTCATGTAAGAACACAGTCTCTTATTATTTCTACTTCAGTTCTCTCCCGAGCATTTTCCTTTCTTGCTTCCAATCCATTAACCAGCCTGCCCAGATCTCTCTGGCCCTTCCTGAGTCTACCACTTTGGGACTTTCACAAGTTTTCCTGCCAGGCCCTTCTGAAAGACTGTGGATAAACCACCCTAACAAGGACATGGTTAATATTGACTCTTGTTGTTTTGGATGAACAAAYAGCAGTGGCAAAAGCAGAGGRTACAAARCTAAAGCACAATCTGCTRAAGTGRTGACTGCTTCTAGAAATGGGATTAYRGTGRTGTGGGGCACAGACCAGCAAGCAAAAATGCTCCCAAAGGTGGGACACAGTCCATGTGATGAGCTGAATCCCCCCACCACAGCCAGGGAAGTGCCTCCTCTTGGCCACTGCTTGAGCAACTTAGAACCAGGCTATGCCCAAGCACTGCTGTCTCCTCCTGTGTGCCCTGCAGATCTCAGTGCTCAGTTTTCACTGAAAAAGGTTCCTTTCATGGATTCATGTCCACTTCTCAGTATTCCCTCTTTCTGTCCCTGAGCAGTGAAAAACTTGGTTTACCCCCTTCCTCTGAAATTGCCAGGTTCTGGTTACTCTGCAACACAACTTTTGATAATTTTCACACACCAGCCTTACTCTGATCAAATAACAGCTACTTCTCCAATTTTTCTTTTCAAACAGGTAAACCTTTCAACAAATTCATTCTACAAATCTACTTCTTACTCAGTCTAGCCTCTGCTTTTCCTTTCAGTGATCTCYTCCTTGATACTCAATGGTCAGTCTACCTAACATATTTAAACGATTTCCTCCCTGTACCTGTCAGGTCACAGGAGARCACCCAAATGCTCTAGCACAACCCTTCTTCTGTAAAGCTGAATCCTGTCTGATGGTCATCTTTTGCCATATACCAGCTCTGATTTTTCACTGCCCCCTCTACTTTTAGTTTCACCCTTGCTCTTATTTTTACTCTCCCTTTACCCTCAACCTTATTTTGAACAGATAAACCAAGCCCAGCATTATTACAAGGTAGTGCCTTCAGATATGAATTAAAGTGCTTGAAAAATCCACCTATTCTCTGGCTTCTTTTGGACTGAGAATCCTTTGTAGGCAGCATTTCCTTCATCTACCTATTCCTGCAAAACACTCAACACAGGAAGGCTGTAAATATTGATTATGATACCATGGGAACAAACTCAGAGAAGTAATTTCTAACAAATTACCCATTTGGAGCATTAAATCAATGTCACAGTTCTGGCTGCCCAAGTTAGATATCTGAAAAGCCTTTTAATGAAAAWAGTAGAAAACTTCCCCCGTTCTATATTCAAAACTAATTAGCTCCAGAGTCATCAAAGATCAGAAGTAATGCCYGGATTTGGAAGTATCAGTAACCCTTCACATGCTCTGCCCCTTCAGACCTCTCACCTCATGGATCAAGGAAYCAAACATGAATGGAAATCTCTTGCAAAAAACTACCAGAAGAAAGCTTGTTAGAAAGCTGGCCCAATGCTGTTACAGGAGAGCAGTTTTTTCCCCTCTTTGTCCAATGTTAAAAGAAAAACATTTTGTCCTTTTCCAYTAACTAATGTGCTAAAATATCCACTAAACTAATTTTCCTACACTGTTCTGAAGGATGAAGAATTACTTTGTCAGCAGATTGTCCTCTCCACAGAAAGGACACACAGGGATAGCTCTTAGCACTGCCCCAAGGCCAATGCCCTCCTATCACAACTTGGCTCCAGCTCAAGTGCTTGTGCTWGAAAATGAGAAACAAGAAGCTCTTCTGTACCTTCCAGATGGTGCATCAGAGTCCCCAGTGCCTTCCCAGAGCAGCAGCCTTCAAGTGACCTGAAAATAACCTCTGCGAATGCACTGATTGTGATGGTCACTACTTGGGTGAGTTTGACTGAGACACAGGGTGCTCTGACTGCCTCTGGGAGATGTGAAGCCTTCCAGAAAATTAATGGAGCTGATTGGCAAGAAGAACATGAGCATTACCAGGGTCATTAAAGGAATTTTTTTGATCAGAGAAGAGATCAGGGGATACATCACATTAGAGCTTTTCTTCTCTAACAGGGAGTCCAAGGAAGTCAWGGAAGTGCCAGAAAGTTAAGAACTGATAAAGAGTGACAAACTGTAAACCCCAAGCAGCTTCAGCCAGGCACTCAAAGAGAACTCACCAATTTTTTACACTTAACTGTTCAGCAGCCTACTACTTAAACACCATCACTGTCAGAAATGCAGGTATCAACTGATGCTGCTAATTTTTAAGTGTAYTTCAGGAGTGATCTGGATATGATATACAGCAAAGTCAATTCTGACTGGGAAAATGGTGGAGTATTTAATTTGGAATAAACCTACAATGAGCAGCCATTCCAATGGCCTGTCCAGTTCAGGGCTGACTGAAAGCTAAAGCACGTTTTTAAAGGCACTGTCCAAATGCTCCGAAACCCTGACAAGGCTGGAGCACTCACCAGGCTTGTGGGATGTGTGTTCAGTGTCTGACCACCCTCTYCRTAAAGARATATCTCCTAATGTCCAGTCTGGACCTCCCCTGATGAAGCTGTCACAGAATCACAGACTGGGTCAGGTTAGAARGGATCACTGTGGATCACCTGGTCCCACCTCCCTGCACAGCCAAGGATTGTGCCAGATCTCTCTGGAATATCTCCGGTGAGGGAGACTCCACTCCCTCTTTGGGCAGTCTGCCTCATGTCCAGGTGGAACTTCGTGGCCATCGTTTCCTGCCGTTTCTCTTGTGCCATTGCTGGATCCCACGAAGCAGAGCCTGCTCCCTGCTCTCAGCCCTCCCTGCAGACAGGGACAGACAGGGCTATGAACCCCTCTCGAGGCTGAACAGYCCCAGTTCCCTCAGCCTTTCCTCAGCAGGGAGATGCTCCAGGCCCTYCCTCACCTCTGCAYCCTCTGCTGGCCCAGCTCCAGGAGTCCATGTCTCTCCTGTACTGAGGAGCCAGAGCTGGACACAGCACTCCAGATATGATCCCACACACATCCYGGATCATTTGGTTACCAGGGAAAAGAGATCAGCACCTGTCTCTCCATGTTCCCTCCTCAGGACACTGTAGAAGCTGTATTACTGAGCACAAGCAGCACAGAGAGGAAATGAGTAACAGCCAGCCCAGAATAGTCATCTATCTTGCCTGCATACCAATACACAGCAGCACTTTTTCTTCAGGAAACTGATGATATGTGGGGATGATGGTTCTTCAAATGCCAGGGAAACATTTTTTATTGATTAAAGAAAGATAGACCTTGCTTTGAAAAAGACATAATTTGCTCCTTTCAGTCTTGGTAAAAATCCCAAAATGACAGTGACTGTGCTGAAAGAATGTCTTGTTTGTCAGAAGAAAACCAAGCACTGAAAGATCTTCTATTCTGCCTAAGAACAACTCAACATCCGGGGAAGGGAGTTAACATAGTAGTTGGGTAAAACTGATATACATTAGCCAAATGAGCTATTTGCAATAGAAAGCAGGCATATTCATGGATGAGGAGAAATAAGTACGGAATTGAGACTGGCATCTACTCCAGAACTGTTGTTCACCATCTGTACAATGGATGGGGAATTACAAAATGGGCTGTTTTCATACTCTAAATAATTTTAATGGGGTGTCTTTTTTGTTTTGTTTTTGTTTTATTATTGCAAGATGAACTTTGATTAAAATGATACTCTTCAAAACCTGCATACAAGCCACAAACTATTTAC